GGGGGGGGGGGGGGGAGATGTTAAGGAATGTAGCTGTGTTGGGAATTTGTACTTTGAAAGATTGGAAGTGATGGAAAGCAGCTGTTAGGTACTTTTCCATAGGCATTTTAACAAGGGCGACTTCCCAAGTAACAATTTCTTAAATGTGCTTGTGTACAGTTTGCCCTCTACCAAATCTTACAGTTGTGCAGGGGAGGCCGGGCCTAATCTTAATTTTTTCAAATTTCAGATTTTTGTTATATTTATTATAAATGTTTTATATGTCCTCGTTCCTTTAGAAGCATATATGTCAATATATATTAAAAATTATTTAATAATTTTATTTGTTTTGTAATGTTAGAGTATTTCTTTGTAAAACAAACTAAATTTCGGACATTTTTTCTTCTCTTTTTTCATCTTTACTTTGTTTCGTTATGTTGGAGTATGTATCTATCTCTGTATAAGTTAGACAAAAATAAACAAAAATTGTAAGAAAAACAACAAAATAGGTTTTGGAAATTACAAATGTATCCTTTTTCATTTTAATTATATTTATCCCTAACTTCAAAACTAAAAAAAATACTTAAAATGAATTTAAAATTTAGTTTGTAATGATGAGGATGTATTTATCCCTGTGGGGTGTAAGTCGGCAGTATCTGCTGGGAACCCCAACTATCAAACTACTGCAAGGTTTAAAGGCATAAATTCCTGATTTAACAAGACAAGCTTCAATTCGTGCCTGGTTCATAGATATACACACAACCAGAAATATACATTCTAGTTATACAGTGTTATTCATTGTTATACAGTGTTATACAGTGTTATTCAATGGTATTCAGTGTTATACAGTGTTATTCAGTGTTATACATTGTAATTCAGTGTTATACAGAGATCTTGAGTGTTATACAGTTATACAATGTTATGCAGTGTTATTCAGTGTTATACAGAGATCTTGAGTGTTATACAGTTATACACAATGTTATACAGTGTTATTCAGTGTTATACAGTTATATACAATGCTATACAGTGTTATTCAGTGTTATACAATGTTATTTAGTATTATACAGAGATCTTGAGTGTTATACAGTTATATACAATGTTATACAGTGTTATTCAGTGTTATACAGTGATATTTAGTATTATACAGAGATCTTCAGTGGGATACAGTTATATACGATGCTATACACTGTTATTCAATGTTATTTAGTATTATACAAAGATCTTGAGTGTTATACAGTTATATACGATGTTATAAATTGGTATTCAGTGTAACAATGTTATAAAGTGTTTCAGTTTTATACAACGTTATTTAGTATTATTACAGAGATCTTGAGTGTTTTACAGCTATATACAATGTTATACAGTGTTATTCAGTGTTATACAGATATCTCAAGTGTTATACAATGCTATCTAGTGTTGCTCAGTGTTATAAAGTGATATTTAGTATTATTACAGAGATCTTGAATGTTACACAGTAATATAAAATGTTATAGAGTGTTATACATTGTTAAACAGTTATTTAAAATGTTGAACAGTGTTATTCAGAGTTTTACAGTGCTATTTAGAATTAAAAAAAAAAATTGAGTATTAAATAGTTATATACAATGATATAAAGTGGTATTTAGTATTATACGGTGCTATTTAGTATTACATACATTGTTATAAAGTTTTATTTAGTGTTATACGGTGTTATTTAATATTATCCAGAGATCAGGAGTGTTATAACAGTGATATAAAATGTTTTCCAGTTACATACAATGTTATACAATGTTATACAATGTTATTTAGTGTTATACAGAGATCTTGAGTGTTATGCAGTTTTATATACAATGCTATACAGTGGTATACAGTTAAATACAAGGATATTTAGTGTTTTTCAGTGTACTCTAGTGCATGATATAAATGCTGTGTTATAACATACATACACAGATTGTTATACAACGATATAGAGATACAGGTACGGCTAGAGATGTAAAGTGTTATACAGAAATAAGCAATTTTTTATACAGTGTTACAAAAAGTTATACAGTGTTATATGTATAATGTATAATGATCAAATGTTTATAAAATTGTTTTTTTAGGAAGGTGTGCTGCCAAAAATAAAATTGTATTTTATATTTTATTTGAAGTTAACAACCAAAAAATATCCAAATTTGGATATTTTATTTTTATACTTTTTTTCAGATTAGTTTAAAGCACAGAGGGTCATAAATATTTATTACAAATTGCGTTTTGTTGCCTTGTAACTTGTAAGGCATGTTTATACTTGGTTAAAGCATGCATATTTGAAAAAACTAGAAAATCAAGACTTTATAGAACACAGGAAACATGGTAATTGCACAAGAGGAGAAGGGGGGGGATAATTGTAGATTTAAATATTCAAGATTATAGTAATGAATAAAAAGACACTCAAAATTATAAAGAAAAAAGTGTGAAAAAAGCAATATGAAATTTAGAAAGAAGCTTAGAAGATTGGAGAATTTAGATATAAAAGATAAAGAAGCTTAGAAGATTGGAGAATTTAGGTATATTAGAGAAGATTGGAGAATTTAGGTATATAAGATAAAGAAGCTTAGAAGATTGGCGAATTTATGTATATTAGAGAAGATTGGCGAATTTAGGTATATAAGAGAAGATTGGAGAATTTAGGTATATTAGAGAAGATTGGAAAATTTAGTTATATATGAGAAGATTGAAGAATTTAGGTATATGAGAAGATTTGAGAATGTAGGTATATAAGAGAAGATTGGAGAATTTAGGTATTTAAGAGAAGATTGGAGAATTTAGGTATTTAAGAGAAAGGGAGATACGTGTTTCAAATATTTTAGGGTTTACGAGCGAACAAAAGTTTAAGATTAAAAATTCAACAAAAAAATGAATTTGTGTATATAATGCAGTTTCATTTTTTTCCCAAAATGGACTCTCTTGATATATATAACGTATTTCAGAAATAAAAGAAACGACATGAAGACATTTATTAATTTATTCTTCCTCCTACCTCTAATAAATTCACAGGTAACGATTTTCTTAGTTTGAGAGGCAAGGTTGAAAAGTGCAACTTTATACTATTAAAAAGATAATGAATTTCGTGACCAAAACTGAAAACACCCAATTACAATTTTGAAGAAGAAAAAAGATCTAAACTTTTGGGAGGTCTATATATCTAACTGATAAAAAATGTCAAATCATTTTTTTCAGATTTGACAAAATGATAGTAGTAATAAATTATCTAAATAACTAAATAAATTTTTCTAATTTATCAAAATTTTGAATTGACAGGGCATGGTTCTAAACTTTGAATTGACAGGGATGTTCTAAACTTTGAATTGACAGGGTGGTTCTAAACTTTGAATTGATAGAGTGGTTCTAAACTTTGAATTGACAGGGTGTTTTCAAACTTTGAATTGACAGAGTGGTTCTAAACTTTGACTTGACAGGGTGGTTCTAAACTTTGAATTGACAGGGTTGTTCTAAACTTTGAATTGACAGGGATCTTCTAAACTTTGACTTGACAGGGTGGTTCTAAATTTTGAATTGACAGGGTGGTTCTAAACTTTGAATTGACAGGGTGGTTCTAAACTTTGAATTGACAGGGATGTTCTAAACTTTTAATTGACAGGGTGGTTCTGAGCATTGAATTGACAGGGTGGTTTTTATTGAACAGTGTTTGTCAAGTTTTATTAAATTAATGAAATTTTATGAAACAGGGTAATGTCAAATTTAACTAAATTATTGAAATTTTTTTGAAACAGCTAGGGTTTGTGTAATTTCATTAAACTATCAAAATTTTACAAACATGGGTTTTTCAAGTTTTACTAAAAAGTAAAAGATTTTATGAAACAGGGTGTGTCAGACTGTTTTCTTCCTACAGGGAAACCTGGAATATGTGCCCCTCTTGGACAATGCACACATCTCACAGATCTAATAGGTAACTATTTTTTGCTGTTTAGAATATTAATCACGACGAATTTTCAAATATGGAATAATCTAATCTAAGAGAATATCGTTGAAACAAACCACTGAGTTTGATTTTTACGTAGATATTAATTTAAGAAATTGTTAAACAAAGTGATGATGAAAATAAACCATATGAAACAATATTTCTTAACAGAAATATTGATATCTACAAAATTGCCTGACCCCATGTAGTAAACACACGCCATAACAAGTTCTCGAACGTATCTATCCAGGTATAATCTGTCCGCTATCAAACTCAACCAGGACTGAATCCCAGGCTCTAAATACCACACTACTTGAACCCCTGTACACTGTTTAGTTGATCCTTTATTGTATTTTAACCCCTATACACTGTTTAGTTGATCCGTGATTGTATTTGAACCCCTATACACTGTTTAGTTGATCCGTGATTGTATTTGAACCCCGGCCCTGTACACTGTTTAGTTGATCCATGATCGTATTTGAACCCCTATACACTGTTTAGTTGATCCGTGATTGTATTTGAACCCCTGTACACTGTTTAGTTGATCCGTGATTGTATTTAATACCCCTGTACACTGTTTAGTTAATCCGTGATTGTATTTGAACCCCTATACACTGTTTGCAGGGAACCTACAGAAACCTCTACCGAGAGATGTTTCCCTTTTATTAAGAGAATCTTTTTTCTGCAATAATCAAGGTAAACATTTTTGAATATTAACTTCTTACTTGAAGTTGAGCTGAGAATAGGGTTAAAGGGAGTGTAAGCCTAATTTCAAGTGACCCTGCATGCAAACATGGCATGATGACCGATTTTAACTGTAACCTTAAATGCTTTGTCTGATCAGTCATGAATTAGATATATACAATCTTTTTTGACTGTTTATTTTCATTTGTGGGTTCTCTGCAAAAGTGACTTTTAAGAAACATTGGTGAAATCATCAGAATTAAATAATATGACGAAAAACTACATTATCTTCCACATTTTTATCAAATTTTGGGTTTCAAGGATTCGTTGTAAATCGGGAATTGCCATCTTTGCATGGACAGTCACTAATAAATGCGTCATGACTTTGCGTTAGAGGCTCAGCTATATGATAGTACTAATAGTTATCTGAGAATTACATTTTCTTGACCTTGTCTTAGACACACGACGGTTTAATTAATAAATATTTGTTGTTTACGACAAGTAATTACTGTTCATTGTTTCTGGGGACGGTTTAATTAGTAAATATTTGTTGTTTAGGACATGTAATTGCTGATTATTGTCCTGGGGACGGTGAAATTAATAAATTTTTGTTGTTTAGGACAAGTAATTACTGTTTATTGTCCTGGGGACGGTTTAATTAATAAATATTTATTGTTTAGGACAAGTAATTACTGTTTATTGTCCTGGGGACGGTTTAATTAATAATATTTATTGTTTAGGACAAGTAATCACTGTTTATTGTCCGGGGGACGGTTTATAATTAATAAGTATTTATTGTTTAGGACAAGTAATTACTGTTTATTGTCCTGGGGACGGTTTAATTAATAAATATTTACTGTATAGGACAAGAAATTACTGTTTATTGTCCTGGGGACGGTGAAATTAAAAAATATTTATTGTTAAGGACTAATAATTACAGTTGAATTAATAAAAAAAATTTGTTTAGGACAAGTAATTACAGTTTGTTGTCCTCGGGGGACGGTTTTCTTAATGAATATTTATTGTTTAGGACAAGGAATTACAGTCTGTTGTCCTGGGGACGGTTTTCTTAATAAATATATATTGTTAAGGACAAGTAATTACAGTCTGTTGTCCTGGGGAAGGTGAAATTAATAAATATTTATTGTTTAGGACAAGTAATTACTGTTTACTGTCCTGGGGACGGTTTAATTAAAAATATGTATTGTTTAGGACAATTAATTACTGTTTATTGTCCTGGGGACGGTGAAATTAATAGATATTTATTGTTTTGGACAAGTAATTACTGATTATTGTCCTGAGGACAGTTTAATTAATAATATTTATTGTTTAGGACAAGTAATTACTGTTTATTGTCCTGGGGACGGTTTAATTAATAAAATAATTATTGTTTAGGACAAGGAATTACAGTTCGTTGTCCTCGGGGGACGGTTTCTTTATAAATATGTATTGTTAAGGACAAGGAATTACAGTTTGTTGTCCTGGGGACGGTCTAACTGTTAAAACCAAGGTTGAGGGGGAGAACAGGGGAGAATGCGGACTTCAGGTTTATACTTTTTTAAAGAGATAGCATGAGGGCCGTTAACTTGGGATATTGAACTTAAACTTGAGAATAAAATTTTACAATTATGCACAGTTTGGGTGATTTCCTAGTATTGGATTTTTGGACCCTATGTAGGTATGTTCAGGTTTACAAATATGGGGTTTACTGCTATATTTATTACAGATTAATTAAAATAACAGTATTTCGTACACAATAACCCTGAGGCAGAAGCCCAATGGAGTTACACGCGGCGTAGAACTCTCTCTCTCTGTTGATATCAAAATTGAAATCGACGACTGTGTTTCAAAAAAATAAAATCTGTGACTTGTTTATTACAGGATGGGATGTCTGCAGAATGTGTTTCCTATTTACAATGTTCTCCATTTGTTCAATTAATGGCAAACCTCAGGAAACCTCTCCCATCATCCTCACCCAGACTTATCCAGTTAGAAAACTTATTTTTTTACAATGGTCGGCGTTAATATCAATACAATGAAGAAGACTTTTCTATTTATGTTTCGTCTTTCAAATTCAAAGTTTAAATGATAAACAAAGAAAATCAAATGTCTATGTACGTGCTATTTATAATCTTGGCAGAAATCAAAAATAAAATCGAAAATCGTCTCCATTGTATTGATTTACACCACGACGACTGTATTTCTATTCCTTACAGTTGTAAAAACTCTGATTTAACAAGGGCAGTTTATTTCTGATTTACTATTTTGTATACAGTACACGATATAGTTTATGAAGTTTGGTGGTTAATAACAATCTTGTAAAAGAAAGAAGTGTATCTGTTCTGGTGATAATTTTACAATACGTTCACGATATACTGTCAAATGACCCTCGTATATTATCTAAAAGGGAGTGTTCCCGAAAATAATAAGGCTTACGGCGAAAAATAATCGCTTTTGATGCTACTAATCTTACTTCTATCTGTTGCGCCTATAAGGCGAAAATAGTAAAAAAAAAACGACTCATACCGAAGAACTTAGCGTCCATACAACTTCAAAAAGTTAATTGCAAAATACGACTCGGACCGTAAAAAAGTCAATTTAATTTCCAACAAATCATTCAGATTGAGATTGCTTCTATTCTTACTTCTATCTGTTAAGTCTATAAGGAGAAAATTGTTAAAAACTACTCATACCGAAGAACGTAGCGTCCATACAAATTCAGAAAGTTGCAATATACGACACGGATCGTAAAACAAACAGTTTAATTCCAAACAAATTATTCAGATATTACAACCTATAATCATCCATTTTTTTCCGAAACATTCGTATACGTATAGTTGATATTTCATTATATTTTTTATTTTTTATTATAATGTTTTGCTTACAACAAACTTGTTATTACGGCTGGCGCTGGATTTTCGAACATTCCTGGAAAGTATGAAAATTTCGTCTATCATCAAAAATCCTCGAAACAGGAATGAATGAAAATCCAGGAAAGAAAAAACTGTATATTATATTTGCAAGGAAACAGACTAAACAATAAAAATTTTCTACAATAGTTGTGGAAGTCTCATGCCCTTTGTGAGTAACCCTTTAAAATGTACATTATTATTATTATAGGTCGTCTTACCTTTGTGGAGTTGATACAGTGGGAGAGGAACCTTTACCTAAAGTTTGCTGTCCCTCTCAGGTAATACAAGGTTACCCAATACAGGGTTACCCAATACAGGGTTACCCAATACAGGGTTACCCAATACAGGGTTACCCAATACAAGGTTACCCAATACAGGGTTACCCAATACAGGGTTACCCAATACAAGGTTACCCAGTACAGGGTTACCCAATACAGGGTTACCCAGTACAGGGTTACCCAGTACAGGGTTATCCAGTACAGGGTTACCCAGTACAGGGTTACCCAATACAGGGTTACCCAGTACTGGGTTACCCAGTAAATGGTTACCCAGTACAGGGTTACCCAGTACAGAGTTACCCAATACAGGGTTACCCAATGCAGGGTTACCCAATACAGGGTTCCCCAATACAGGGTTACCCAATACAGGGTTACCCAATACAAGGTTACCCAATACAGGGTTACCCAATACAGGGTTACCCAATACAGGGTTACCCAATACAAGGTTACCCAGTACAGGGTTACCCAATACAGGGTTACCCAGTGGTTACCCAATACAGGGTTACCCAATACAGGGTTACCCAATACAGGGTTACCCAATACAGGGTTACACAATACAGGGTTACCCAATACAGGGTTACATATTACAGGGTTACCCAATACAGGGTTACCCAATACAGGGTTACCCAATACAAGGCTACCCAATACAGGGTTACCCAATACAGGGTTACCCAATACAGGGTTACCCAGTACAGGGTTACCCAATACAAGGTTACCCAATATAGGGTTACCCAATACAGGATTACCTAATACAGGGTTACCCAATACAGGGTCACCCAATACAGGGTTACCCAATACAAGGTTACCCAATACAGGGTTACCCAGTACAGGGTTACCCAGTACAGGGTTACCCAATACAGGGTTAACCAATACTACAGGGTTACCCAATACAGGGTTACCCAATACAGGGTTACCAAATACTACAGGGTTACCCAATTCTACAGGGTTACCCAATACAGGGTTACCCAATACAGGGTAACCCAATACAGGGTTGCCCAAAATAGGGTTACCCAATACATGGTTACCCAATACAAGGTTACCCAATACAGGGTTCCGCAATACAGGGGGGAGGTGTGCGGGTTGGTCGAGAACGTTTAAATATGCTGCTAATCTTTAACTGAAACTAAATTGTTTATTACAACTAGGCAATAAAGAAACCAGAACCAGAAGTTACGGCCACTACTTTGACGCCCCCTACTACTACAGACAGGTACATGCACTACACTCCTGACAGGTTTAAGGTGCCCCCTTCCACTAAAGACAGGTATATACGCACTACACTACAGACAGGTACAGGGCACCCTACCACCACTGACAGGTACAGGGCTACCTACCACCACTGACAGGTACAGGGCACCAACTACCACCACTGACAGGTACAGGGTGCCCCCTACCACTAGAGACAGGTACAGGGCACCCTACGAACTCTGACAGGTACAGGGCAACCTACCACTAGAGACAGGATAGAGACAGGTAAAGGGCGCCCTCTACCACTAGAGAAGGTACAGGGTGCCCCTACCACTAGAGACAGGTACAGGGTGCCCCCTACCACTAGAGACAGCTACAGGGTGCCCCCTACCTCTAGAGACAGGTATAGGGTGCCCCCTGCCACCACTGACAGGTACAGGATGCTCCCTACCACTAGAGACAGGTACAGGGTGCCCCCTACCACTAGAGACAGGTACAGGGTGCCCCCTACCACTAGAAACAGGTACAGGGCGCCCTCTACCACTAGAGACAGGTACAGGGTGCCCCCTACCACTAGAGATAGGTACAGGGTGCTCCCTACCACTAGAGACAGGTACAGGGTGCTCCCTACCACTAGAGACAGGTACAGGGTGCCCCCTACCACTAGAGACAGGTACAGGGTGCCCCCTACCACTAGAGACAGGTACAGGGTGCCCCCTACCACTAGAAACAGGTACAGGGCGCCCTCCCTACCACTAGAGACAGGTACAGGGTGCCCCCTACCACTAGAGACAGGTACAGGGTGCCCCCTACCACTAGAGACAGGTATGGGGTGCCCCCTACAACTAGAGACAGGTACAGGGTGCCCCCTACCACTAGAGACAGGTACAGGGTGCCCTTTACCACTACAGACAGGTACAGGGCGCCCCCTACCACTAGAGACAGGTACAGGGTGCCCCCTACCACAAGAGACAGGTACAGGGTGCCCCCTACCACAAGAGACAGGTACAGGGTGCCCCCTACCACAAGAGACAGGTACAGGGTGCCCCCTACCACAACAGGAAGGTACAGGGTGGCCCCGAGAAAATGATAGTAGTAAAACCGACTTGACGGTCGTCTTTGAATTAATAATCAAAATTATTGAAATATTGATGAAAATATCCTGTAATTTTAAAAGCACAAAAAAGGAGACCACAGTTGATAAATGGCAGGAATAGGGGTATCTTGTGATTATTGATTCAAACCAAAAGGTTGACAAATGAATGAGACTTTAGATATACATTGCAGAAACTCTGAAACTTTTTTGACATCCTCGAGAAGCCTCTCCGCCTCACAAGATATGAAGTTCAACTATTAGAACATAGTTCAATTACTTCTTTTTATTAATTCTGATCTCAGGTTTGCCAATTATCCCGGGAGATCGCTGCTCGCCAACTCTGCTAGTTGTGGGATTTCACTCAGGAAAAGATCAAATATTTTAAACCTATGCATTTCCAGAAAAATTCTACGACCATGAAAATTTCAAAGGAACTGATTACTTGCCTCGAACCAAGGTTAAATAATAAGTCAGGTTACTCTCGATGCGCGCCAATGTACAGAAAATGTTGTCTCCTAAGATTGATAGATAAAAACCTAATATGACGTCACTCTCGTCTCTATAATCAGTGACGTCATATCGGGGTTTTGTCTATCTATCTATCGTAGGAGACGAAATTTTTCGTACATCGCATCGAGAGTAACCAACCTTATTATACATTTCCTAGCTTCAAATTCAATAATTTACATATTCATAAATTTTTCTGCATTATATATCTTCCAGGAAGGATTGTCAGCAATTAGATCTTTTTTAACAGTTCTGAAAAGAGGATTGTTGGAGGTCAAAATGCAGATCTTGGTCAATATCCTTGGCTGGTCAACCTAGGGTACAGGCAGGTACAGATGGAAATTAATTTGGTTAGTTCTTGCTTCTTTTTTGTCTTTATTTGCTTTCAGCGTCAAAGTTTGACAAAAAGATTGGAAAATTAATTGTTTACTATCTGAGTGGAATAATGCAATTCCGTAAATTTGTATGGACGCTACTCTCTTTGATATAAGTCATTTTTTAACCATTTCCTTCTTATATGACAGATAGAAATCAAATTAGTGTCAATTCAATTCAATTCAATTCAAGCCTGTACCCGCTATCACTTTTCGCGAACACTCCCTTTAAGTTGTAAATTTTGAGTTTTATTTATCTATTTGTTAAATTTTAATTGAACTTTAGAATTGAATTTTCTTTTTGACGCTGTTGGAAATTAAATTTATTTAGTTCAATAAATCAATATTATTTTTAGAACGGAGGTTCAAATAATCTTTTCAAATGTGGAGGAACTCTAATAGGTTTGTAATAGGGCTTCCAATCGGAATTTCGTTGCGCGGAATTGCGCGGAATTGCGCGGAATTGCGCGCAACTGTTCGGAATTGTGCGCAACTGTTCGGAATTGTGCGCAACTGTTCTCAAATTGCGCGGAATTGTGCGGAGTTTACAGGGCTAACAATTTCGCGAAAGTAAAATCCACTTGAGTCGGAAACCCTAGTTTGTAATCATTTAAATCTGTGGGGGTTTAACTGATAAAATGAATCAAAGGAATTTAGTCATCGGCACTAGCTTTGATTTTCTAATCCCTATTTCGTTGCAACGCAATGTGGTGTAAACCTTTGTTATTTCAAACTTAGATTATTTGAACCAACAGAATTATAGTTTGCAATAATTTAGTTGCATTCCTACAGCCTAGGATAGCAGAGCTCTGTTAGAAAGCTCTCTGCACTATTTGCAAAGGACAATGAGAAATGTGGCTGCACATATGGAGGGAGGGAAGGCCAAGCGACCCTGAACCCCGTGCTCAATTAGCTAGCCTCCTTCTTGACTAAAGTACCCATGGCCGGGGTACTAAGTCAAGAAAAAGAAATAACAAAGAGTTAACATGACTAATACTAATCCGGTTTTATATATCCACTCCGAAAAGATAACCTACAGATTAATTCCCATAATATAGGGATTGGAAAATCAGAGTTTGTGGCAAAAAAAAAGTCAATGCCTTCAATACAAATACAATTGTTTAAACTTTTTTATTTTAAGGGAAAAGACACGTGATTACAGCAGCCCATTGTGTTACACAGCTACCAAAGTAATAGTTACATCAATTTTTGACAACGACCAAGAAATAAATATGAAAAAGTTTTGAGTTAGATCAAAAAATAAAAATGCAACTTTATAAAGCCTTTTACCTGTTCGAAAAATTAGGAACTAAAAAATGTTCGACTGGAGCAACTTTTGAATCCTTTTGTATCAGGGATCGTTAATCTTAAGCGCGTGATCTCAATATCAATTGTTGGCACTTTAAAATTTGAGGATAAATGCTTTATCCCTCAATAAAATCAATCAATCAATCATAAGATGGAGATCAATGGTTGATCCCGAGATGCATGAGATGGAGATCAATACTTGATGGATCCCGAGATTCATGAGATCGAGATCAATGGTTGATCTCGAGAATAACAACGCAAAAGCTCTGACTCTGATAACTGCAGCCAACCATTCCTCAAAAAATGCAAATTAATGTTTTTATGATTTAATATTCAACTATTAAATTGAATATTACTTTAATATTAAACTTGAATTTTTTTAGAGGATTTGATCTAAGTGTTGTTCGTGTTGGAGAGTATGATTTATCAATGGTAAAATATTGATGAAAATATCCTGTAATTTTAAAAGATAAAAATAATGATAATAATAATAATAATAATTTGTTCTGCTAACGCCGTTAATAAAATAGAGATCTTGAAAAAACTAACGGTAACTATTGAAAAAACGGAAACTACTGCTAACAAAACGAACGTTCGACATTTTTCTCACCTTTAATACTAACAGTTACCTGAAGTTAAATGTATGCAGTGGTTTGAACGAACCGTTATATTACCGGCTTGAAAAAAGTGTGAAAGTGGTTGACCTAATTTAGAGGTTTATACTACATTGGGTTGCAAAGATATAGGAATTAGAATATTAAAGATTGTGTAAATTCAGGATGTTGATTGTGATTCTGATAATTTCTGCAGCCCTCCTCCTCAGGATATGCAGGGAACACACCAGTTTTATAGAAAATAGAACATATTCATTAAACATTTTTAAAATAAAAAATAATAATTAGATTTTAATCATAATAACTATAGTGAAAGGTTTTGTATATGAAAAGATCCCTTTGAAAAGTCCAAAATTTTAATTTTATATTGTGGAGATAAAAAAAAAAGACTTGGTCAGACCTCATGGAAATTTTCCATTGGAATCGAATGACGACTGTTTGTGAATAACTGTGAGAATACCCAATTTCAAAAATCTTAAAAATGTTACGTCTGCATAGTTTATAAAAATGGTAAAAGGCTTTAATTTTTCGCAAAATAAGCCATAAAGTGGAATTTTATACAATATTATGCTATGTTATGCAACATAAACAAGAAAGTTCTAAACTTTAATAACATACAAAATTTTCTGCTAATTACATTATCTGGACACTAAATCAAAAATCCTTTACTTGACGACCTTGAAATTGTCACTCAATTCCCATTTTGGTTGAAAATTGTTTATTTTACTCTAACACCATAATCAAACGGAGTACTAACACCAACTGACATTTATTTTAAATTCTATGGTACAGTTAATATTAATGAACGTGTAATTACAAGTTTTAAGTATTTATTGATAAACATTAAAGTTTAATCGCAATAGAGGTTTGACGTAGATTATTTACAATTGTAATTAGGTTACTGCAATGTACAACGTAATATATCTAGGTGTTTTCAGGTTTATAAATATGAGGTTTGCTACGATATTTATTACATGTTTAATGGCTTACTTAATGATTTGACAAAGAAAGCAGAATCATAAATATAATTAAACAGACAAAAGAAATTTGGTAAAATAGACTCTGAAGTCTCATCTGTTGTGAGTTGTGACTACCACTGTACTTGAAATAAAAAAGTATTTTGAAATGTTTGGATAAGCTAGGATAAACTGGTCTGGGTGAAAGGTTGAGGAAGTATACAGTCATGAAAGCTACGGGAAACCAGCCAGTTTTCAGAACGATATTGCCATCATTAAGGTTACCTTTAATTACATTTTTAAACTGATAACTAGAACATTCTGGAACAGGAAGACGACGACTTTTGGAATAAAGATATTACAGGGTTACCCGCAAAGGTTGAGACTTCAGGATTGTATGAAATGTATACTGTCTGTTTCCTTATAGTTTAACTTCTCACTTTCTTTGACAAGTCATTTAAAAACCCATTAAAAGACTCTATGAAGTCACTAAAAAAACCTTAAAAAGACTCAATGAAGTCATTAAAGAAACATTAAAAGACTCTATTAAGGATCGAAAACTTTAACATTGTGATCATCATTTTGAAAAGTTTTCAGTCGTCTTTACAGTCTGATCTTTTGTGGGTAACCCTGTACTTAAAAAGCCAAATAAACATCGAATACAGGAGTTGTGCAGTGTAAACAGACTCATTTAGTTTAATTAATAATGTAATACAGTACTAACCCAGAACTTATCAAAATAATTTATAATATTTCGACGTTTTCTAAATCTGTTATGCAAACAGAATCCTGGAAATATTTAGTTTTTTAATAATTATTTAGCTCTTTAAAACTGTTCCCACATATGTCATAGCGATCCATTATTTTTCCAATTTCGTTGATTTGTATAATAAACATGATGTCATGATGTCCCAATAAACATGGAAATTCAGTGACGAATTCTTATGTCGTCTTTGTAATGAATTAGCATTGCAATACCTGATTTAAAAAGCCATAATATTATATCTGCTAGAGTTTATTGTATGAAAAAGGTAAATGGTTGTAAAGATGTGTCTATAATGTCTCTGCAAGATAACAGTGAGGACGGACAAGTTTATAACTCTGTTTGTATACTGTAATAGGTTGTACAACCAGATGCAGTCAAAACAAAAACAAAAAAATTGTAAACATAGCAGACGAAAATCTTACGGATTACAGCTTTCTCAGTAGGTATCACTTTCCTAAGTCAAAGAATTATTTAAACAGACGATATCGAATACGTCATTAAATTCCCATGTTTATTGGGACACCCTGTAGTAAAAAAAAACATTCAAAAGTTGTCAAGAAGACATTTTATAGATTCTTTCGATGTTTCAGAAGTTCTGGGTTAAATTGAAAGTTATCAGAAAACTATTTACGTTGTAACAACATTAAAAAAAAACATCTGAGTAATAAGTAAGGTTGTAAGAGTAATGTCGACTTCCTATTTTACAACTTTCTGGTTCTTAGCTTGGGAACCCAGCGTGCCCCAGGGGAGTCATAGTTAGTCCCACTGTTTACACGCCAATGTCGTAAATTACGATTTTTGTTATTTTTTCCCGCGTGGACTACTCAACTAAGAATCTCAAAACCAATCTAAGAATGTTTCTGTGGGTCTCCAGGAGTTCCCCAATTAAAATTTGAAAGAAATCGATCCAGGGTTCATGAGTTATGATCGGACAAACAAACAGAGATTACAACTTTAAATTTAGACATAGCTTGGAAACCCAGCGCTGACAAGGTTACTAAAAGTTACTCCCGCCGTTTACCCGCACTTGAACGATTTTACCGGGAAATTAAATTTTCGCTATTAAAGTTGACCCACTCAACTAAGAATCTCAAAACCAAGCCAATTACATTCCCGTGGGTCTACCGAGTTTTTCATTAAAATTTTTAGGCAAATCGGTCCAGGGGTGCCTGAGTTATGATCGGACAAACAAAAAAACAGACAAACAGAGATTATAACTTTATATATATGTAGATAATGTCACTTTCTTGTTAATGAGCCATTTTCAAAAGTCCCGAATTTTTTATTTTAATCTTAAAATATTTTTTTGCTTGGCTTCCAAATAAATAAAAGGGATGCTGTTATAAAATAAAATAAAATGTTGATAATGGTTCAAATAAAATTACGTTGTCCATCCTTTTGTAGTTGAACAACACAATTTAGAGTTTTTATGAAAAAAATTTTTATTCCAACTTATGCCAAAGAAAAATCTTTGAAAAGTTTATGATAAACAGAATAAAAAATAGCTTATTTTCAGTTGAAAAAAGAAGTTGAAATTAATGATTTTGTATCTCCGATCTGTTTGCCATACACGCATGACAAGGAGGATTATCTCAGTAAAAGGTATTAATCAATTTTTCAATCAATAATCAATCAATCAATTAATCAGCAAGTTAGACAATATATTTTTAAATCATCCAATCAATCAATCAATCAATTTAAAAATAAACAATTTTAAGCAATAACCCAATTTTTATAAATATCCCACCAATCAATTAATCAATCATATAAACATCAATATATTATTAAACTACACGATCAATCAGTAATTCAATTGATAAGTCAGTCATACAAACCGAATAATCAATCAATCAGTCATAGTTAATAACCAACTGTACAGCGGGTACATCCAGTCCACGGGCCATAACACCTGTCGCCACCAGGACAGGATACTTACCCGTCCTGAAGTCGTATAAAGCCTCCTCACGTTCACACTGAGAACGCTTGCCAAAAATGTTATTTGACCATTAAAAAATTATTCTTTAGTTAATCAAATAAGCAAAAGTATAATTCTTAGAAAAATTACAATGTTATTAATCAATTTTGAAACATATTTTAGTGTTTGAGAAACATAATAAAATGAAAAATACGAAGACAAGTAGGTGTACACTGTACAGTGTTCAAATACAAACTATTTGACTCCATCAAGGATCCAAATATAATAACATAAAATTATTAGGGCCAAGTCCAAGTTCAAATTTTTGTGTGTAACGAATATTAGGCATACAAAAAATTTGAAAAGAAAATTCAAAAATATTTTTGAGAACAAATAAGAAAATTCCACGAATCAAATTTTTAAAAATATTTTTTTGAAAAATTCTTTGGACTTTTTATTTTAGAATATTCGTTTATTTTAAGTATTACAATTAACTTAGAATTCTTATCTGGAAAGTATTGTGGATATCGAGATCAATTCTTTTTCTCGATCTTTTGTTAATCTGCAGATTAATTTGATATTTATTCGTTAAGCATTGATCCTCAAGTCAAAAGTGCACGCAACGGATATCGAGATCTGTGGATCCGGATTATGAGTATCCAACTCAAAAGTTTCCAGCTCAGGTCTAATAAAATGAAGAGATAAAATCAATTATTTAGAATAAATACAGACAACGGAGAACTAGAACTACAAATAGAGGTGGCCGGCTGGGGTGCTACAAATAAGGTGATAGTTGTATATTACAGAGATTGTCAAAATAAAGTGGAATATGAGGATCTAACCTGCAAAGGGTCGATTTTTTTCAAGGACAAATTTGCCATAGTGTAAGATGAGCAAATGTTTCTAACTTTTTATTCTAAACATTTGCGTTCCTTATATTATGTCATCCACCCTAAAAGAAAAAAATATTTGCAGAAAACGGCCCCAAAAACAATCCAAAAGCGAAACAATCGTTCTTCCATTTTTTTATAGGATAAATTTTAACACATTTTACTAGAAGAGGTTCATTCGTTTTGCGTACTGTACCGGTTTGCCTTTATACAAAGTCTGTAATTGTACTGTACAGCTTGTTCTAGCTAGTCAATAGGCGGCCCGGTACTTAAATTGTACTGTACAGCTTGTTCTAGCTGGTCAATAGGCGGGGCCCGGTACTTGAATTGTACTGTACAGCTTGTTCTAGCTGGTCAAGAGGCGGCCCGGTACTTGAATTGTACTGTACAGCTTGTTCTAGCTTGTCAATAGGCGGCTCGGTACTTGAATTGTACTGTACAGCTTGTTCTAGCTTGTCAATAGGCGGCCCGGTACTTGAATTGTACTGTACAGCTTGTTCTATCTTGTCAATAGGTGGCTCGGTACTTGAATTGTACTGTACAGCTTGTTCTAGCTTGTCAATAGGCGGCCCGGTACTTGAATTGTACTGTACAGCTTGTTCTATCTTGTCAATAGGCGACCCGGTACTTGAATTGTACTGTACAGCTTGTTCTCGCTGGTCAATAGTCGGCCCTGTACTTGAATTTAAAAATATTTAGGTTGGGAGGGATCCAGCAAATATTTTACAGTTCCTAGATGTTAATATTTAGGTTGGGAGGGATCCAGCAAATATTTTACAGTTCCTAGATGTTAATGTCACAGACTCAGAACAATGCAAGGTAGATATTAAGGAAATATATCTTTAAAAAACAATATCTGTTTAGATAAGTTAGAAAAATGTTTACACTTTTTTATCGCTTAATGATAAGTTTGGGAGATTTTGTGGAACAAAAAATAATTGCGAAAATTCCAAAAAAAAAAATTGAAAATTGAAAGTTTTCATTTAGACAAAGATGCTCAATGTCTTTGCATTTAGATTAAAACATTGAATTTGCAATTATTTATAATTCATTTATAATTCATAAATATCATAATTATATACTTTCTACACATATTTAATGAATGGCGTACGGTTTGAATGATGAATAATAGTTTGCAAAATATATATCACCTATTCCATTTAAAGTATTTGTTAAATCTAGTAAGACAAAATTTTAAATTAAAAAAGTGTTTAAAAGCTGTGATTTTATCATAAAGCTAGGAGCACCTTTTCCTTTTTTGATTTTTTCTTTTTAAAGTCAATTATCTATCAATAAGAGATTTTTTGCACAGTCTTTTGCTGGCCTCGAAATTTAGGATTCCACAGGGTTTTGCTAACTACCTGGGTTTCGAACAGGATATTGCTGGGCTCATGGCTGCATGCCATCTTCCCCCCCTCCCTCATTCCAATATTTTCTGGTTATCACTTATCGTTTTTTTCTAGAATATCTACTCAACACGTGGAGGTGTTCTCACAGATACCCAGATATGTGCAGGAGGAGAGAAGGGGAAGGTAAAGAAAGGAATTAAGTCTTTGCCACCAACTCAGAGTTTTTAATCTCAATAAAGGAACTGAGTTCTTTCCACAAACTTAAATTTTCTTATCCTTATATTTCTTCAGAACTTCATCTTCATGATATTTCAAACTTAGACAATCTGATCCAACAGAATTCATAGTTTGAAATATCAAAGGTCTACAGCATCAGGTTGCGGAGATGGAAAGATTTAAAAATAAGAGTTTGTTATAAGAATTCAGCTCCTTTGCAACCCAATGTTGTAAATCTTGGATATTTCAAACTTTGAATTCTGGTAAATCAAATACATGTTATAGGTTTACATCATCAGGTTTTTAAGGTATAGGGATTAAAAGTAAACTTTTGAAAGTTTCAATATAAGAATAAATATTAAATAAAATTAAATTTCCAAGTTTTAATGTTCTCTAATAAGGGAAAGTTTGTAGTTATATTTGGGTATACAGCATTACAAAGGGGAGGAAAAAGATGATTTTTTAATGATGGGGGGGGGGGTGAAAATTTGATTTTATCGTTTTTCATAGATTCCTTGCTTTTCCAAGAAAATATACACCCCTGCATAATTTATATAAATATATTCATGTCCATGTTTTAGGATTCCTGTGTAGGAGATAGTGGTTCTGCTTTGATGAGGAATAATCTTTCCAAATTCCCAGATCAGTGGGAGATAATTGGAGTGGTCAGCTTCGGTCCCAGGTTTCTTTATTTTCTAAATTCCCAGAACAGTACAGGAGATAATTGGTGTAGTCAGCTTCGGGCCCAGGTTCTTTATTTTCTTAATTCCCAGACCAGTGGGAGATAATTGGAGTAGTCAGCTTCGGGCCCAGGTTTCTTTATTTTCTAAATTCCCAGAACAGTGGGAGATAATTGGAGTAGTCAGCTTCGGGCCCAGGTTTCTTTATTTTCTTAATTTCCAGATCAGTACAGGAGATAATTGGAGTAGTCAGGTTCGGGCCAAGGTTTCTTTATTTTCTTAATTCCCAGAACAGTGGGAGATAATTGGAGTAGTCAGCTTCGGACCCAGGTTTCTTTTGTTTCTTAATTTCCAGACCAGTACAGGAGATAATTGGAGTAGTCAGCTTCGGGCCAAGGTTTCTTCATTTTCTAAATTCCCAGATCAGTGCAGGAGATAATTGGAGTGGTCAGCTTCGGGCCCAGGTTTCTTTAGTTTCTAAATTTCCAGACCAGTGCAGGAGATAATTGGAGTAGTCAGCTTCGGGCCCAGGTTTCTTTAGTTTCTTAATTCCCAACAGTGGGAGATAATTGGAGTAGTCAGCTTCGGGCCAAGGTTTCTTTAGTTTCTAAATTCCCAGAACAGTGGGAGATAATTGGAGTAGTCAGCTTCGGGCCAAGGTTTCTTTATTTTCTTAATTCCCAGACCAGTGCAGGAGATAATTGGAGTAGTCAGCTTCGGGCTGGAAACCCACATTTAAGCAATTTAATACTTTTTGACAATTGTTATTAACAAGTAGCAAGTATCAATGTATTATTGAAAATTGTCCTGTCTGTATTCTAATCATATTTGCTGTATTTCATGTTCAGCTCACTGTTATTCAATTTTAAACTGAAAAAGTACGTATTTTTATTCCACAATTTTTTTTAGTCCCATTGATCAACTGAACTATAACATTGATAACCGGAAGACTTTGAAACAGGACACCTTTTAGAATTAAGTTACCAACTTTAAAAAGTCTAATGATCATTAGACACAGCAATTGTGCAGTGCATTGTGATCATTACTAAATCAAGTCATTCAATAAGTTTCTAGTAAAACTAATTACTTTGTGAGTTATGACAACATCAAATACACTTATGTATTGCTTTAATGTCGTCTTCCTATTCCGTTGTTTTCACTGTATTGCATATAATCATTGCTTGTCGGTTTGTATGTTTGTTTGCTTTTAATCGATAAACGTCTAAACAGCTGAACTGATCGGGCCAAATTTTTGTGTAGGACCTTACATGACCCCAGGGAAGGTTTATGGACCATCAAAATTGGAGAACTAAATTCTGGAAAATAGTTGGAATTTTAATATTTTTAAAATGCCCCAATTCGATAAGAAAAATTCCACCAAATTTGTAAATAATTTAAAATGGCCGACAACGCAACAGATAAAAGCTAAACTTATTAACAGGAAGGGGGCGCGAAGCGTCCTAAAAACTTGTAATCAAATTTTTAAGATGCTAGAAATGTTTTTTTATCAACAATTTAAAAAAATATTTTTAGGTTGTGTGGTACTGAGGGGGTACCAGGAGTTTACACTAGAGTTAACAGCTATATTGACTGGATCCTAGAGACTGTCGCAAAATAGAACAATTATGTTAATTATCCATAGAAATAATACTCTTAAAAATATTTCCAGAGCTGGGAACTTTTGTATTGGATACTTATTACAACGATCACTTGATCTCGGTAGCCAAAGTTTAAGTACTATTAATTTAAGGATCAATGCTCTGTTCTATTCAGATACGGGATCTTTAGTTTGATCTCAATATCAACAACACAAGAGTTCCCAGTTGCTGCAGTTTATAGTTTCCATGCTTGTAAAAAAAATCAATAAATATATTTTAGTCAGCTATATTTTCTGTCTCAAAAATATTTAGAATATTAGCTAGTTCGTGGTGGTCAATAGCATAAATATGTAGAATATTAGCTAGTTCGTGGTGGTCAATAGCAAAAATATGTAGAATGTTAGCTAGTTCGTGGTGGTCATTAGCAACAATATTTAGAATATTAGCTAGTTCGTGGTGGTCAATAGCAAAAATATTTAGAATATTAGCTAGTTCGTGGTGGTCAATAGCAAAAGTATGTAGAATATTAGCTAGTTCGTGGTGGTCAATAGCAAAAATATGTAGAATATTAGCTAGTTCGTGGTGGTCAATCGCAAAATTATGTAGAATGTTTGCTAGTTCGTGGTGGTCAATAGCATAAATATTTAGAATATTAGCTAGTTCGATGTAGAATATTAGCTAGTTCGTGGTGGTCAATAGCATAAATATTTAGAATATTAGCTAGTTCGCGGTGGTCAATAGAATAAATCAGTTTCCTAACCTTTAATGGTTTTCGAACTTTCTGACAGTTCTAACATTTCAGAACAATGTTCGGTAAAAGTTTGATTTTGTGAAACAGGAAAATATTTTTACCCTAAAATGTTCGTAAAACGAACCAGCAAAAAAGAACAGTTTCTAGTTCTTTTTTTGCTTCGCCTCTTCGTGTTATAATTCTACAGTGTGTAGGAAAAGAAAATGTTTTAGGTTTGTTTGTAAGCGCGTATACAGGGTGTTCCGATAAACATGGGAATGAGAGACTGCTTGAATATCGTCTTTGATTTTCGATATTTGATAAATGACATAAAATGCATCAAAAAATGATTTAAGGTCTAGTGAGCGGGAGAAGGCGGCCATAAGCCACAACATTTTCCCCTTCCATGCCACATTATAGCTTTCTTGTATTCCGGCAATTTTTACTTTTTTGAATGATTAATTTAGTGCATAGAAAATGCAATTTTCAAAATAAGACCTCAACGCTGAAAAACATACCATTAAGAAATTTTACTGGTTTATTCAAGATCAATGAATGTGTGTTCTGTTCATAAACTGCTTTACAATATACAAAGAAGATTTTACATCATTATACGGATTGTGGTCACCGGTACAAATAGTTTGGGGGAGTCTAAAGAATAAGAAAATCAGAAATATCACCATATTAACTGGCATTACTTCAGCCTTACAGATTTAAACACGAAGGAAGTCTATTATGCAATTTTCTCTCTAAATAATGCAAATTCTCGGTTATGGGCGCCCTGAACAATTAGTATGCTCTGATACATCATTTTTATTGTTCATGTTTGCAGGATACATTAAAATTAATCATTATTATTCAATTCAAAACTTATTTATAAAGATCTTAATATATATCTTTTACATGATGTGGCTGTTTGAAAATCGAAATTTCAATGCACACAATTTACCATTTGAAATCTTAACAATTGCTGGAAGGGTCAAATGTTGTAGTATGAAAGACCGTATGGTTGTGGCTTACGGCTGTCTGAAGAACAGCTATAAATACGTGGCATAGATGGGGATAATGGTGTGGCTTATGGCCGCCTACCTTACCCCACTCGTCAAATAAGCTTTCCGAATTGTGTTTTACCTTATTTGAATCATTTGTAATGACGGAGATGTTTTTGACATTTGAACATTAGGTAGACCACTTTTTGAAAAATTCCCAGACTTTTTCAACGTTTAATATATTACTACACAATTATTTTTACAAAATAATATAGCTTAAAACAAAAACGATATAGTGGTAGTCATTTAATTAACATCTTTATTGAGACATCTGTTCTCATATCAGGGTTAAAATTTAAAGTGAAAGGAAAGCAAATGTTTGAAATAATAAATTAGTCAAACTTTTCTTATTCTTGTCGACCCATATATAACCTATTAGATATTTGTCTTAAGTTCAAGTCTCTGGTTAATTAAAAATATCTTGAAATTTTCTTTTAGTTACATTATTCACGACCATGTTAAAGGAGTTAGTCACAACTCAACTATAATTTTCATTCAATATATCAATATAACCATAGGATTGTTGTTAGCGAGGCTTATAACATCCTTATTATCGTGAGTAGACTTTTACAAAGTTGATATTCCAAACAAAACTAGGTTCCCAATCATGTTAAAAAAAATTTGTTGAAAATTCAATAAAAAATGATTTATTCAGAAAACAAATATATTTGCTCATAAGTTTTTGAAATGATACAATACGTAAATGCTGATCGAGTGATGATTCTTCAGATTCAAAGTTTGTTTGTTCAAATTAGGACCGGCTGCGGGATTCTAAAAAATAATATATTTATAAATAATTGCAAAATAAAATCGAAACTATTATTTAGCCATTTATGATCTCTGCAAATAATTATTTATTTAAAAGATAATTAAATAATTATGAACATTTTGGACTTGAAAAAATATCAAAATTAGTTTTATAAAGATTATAAATGCTGCAACGAGAACAAATTTAAAATTACATAAAAAAACTGACATAAATCAAAAAGTTAAAATATCTTACTTGAGGGAGAATCGCGCTTTCCTCCTCTTCCTCCCCCAGACTTGCTGCGGGAACGGGAACGATCCCTTCTACCGCCTCCTCTCTCCTCCCGTCCTCCGTTCCTATCCTCCCGTCCACCATTCCTGTCTTCGCGACCTCCGTTTCTATCGTCCCGACGACCTCCGGATCTGCTCCTTGACCTCCTGCCGCCGGACCTACTTCTAGAACGACGTCTACGATCACCACCGTCTCTGTTTCCGCCCCTGTATCCCCCACCGTTTCTATCCCCGCCTCTGTATCCATCCCGACCACTGAAATAAATTGAAAAATTAAAACAGACAATCACAAAAAAAATATTATTTTCCACGTTTAAACTTAACGTTATGATACAGGGTTAACGACAAAAAATGAGACTTCAGAGACGACTGTACGGAATTTATACGATCTGTTTCCAAACATTCAGGATTCCCTGCAATTCTTTCTTTATCTTTTCAATAAATAAGCCATAGAAGATTGTATTTAAGGCAGACAACTTGACATTTCCTTGAAATGGACATAGTTTCAGGTTGTCTTTAAAGTTTCATCCTTTAAGGGTAACCCTGAACTGATTTAAAAAGTTATATTCTTTCGAACATAACTGCATAATAGAAATGTAGTTTAATTCGTGGTTCCAGTCCATTTAAAAAGGAAATAAGAGTGATGAACTGTAAGAGGAAATGCTGAATAAATTTCCACCTTAAATTCCCGATTTCTTAAGCATTTTTATTCAAACTGCTTAACCCGATTAAAATAGTTAATTTCAAAATGATTCAGTTCTTGATTTTTCTCTAAGAATTTGCCAAAATAGTTCCTTTCTGTAAATGAGGGGATTTTAAACACAAGCAGTACTGAACTAGGTTTCCAGAGCCAAAAGAAAACTAGTTTAAGAACTATTTCTAGATTAATGTATATATTATGTAATTGGCATTTTTGCTGTAAACTTCATTTAAAAAAACATAATACACAACTTGTAGTTGAGTTCAAATGTTTTAGGATATATTCATGTAAATATTGAAGGGACTGTAAGCATGACTTTAAGTCATCTCCCATTTAAAAGAAGAGGTTTGTCCGATTCACATCAGGACCCTCAAGACCTTTGTCCAGATGTGGTAAATTCCCTAATGATTGAGTGTCGGAAGACTCAAGGTTACAGTGTACACTGTGCTTTAAGTGTTAATGTTTCTTGGCACTTAATTTCCCGCTATATAAATAAGAACATCTACGAAATCCTTGATAAGCAATGATTCAAAGGGTATCATTGTAAATCGGACATGCCACTTTATAAATAGAAGGTAACTTAAAATTACGCTTTAAGGAAGGGCGCAAGAAACAATAAGTACTTACCCTCCACCTCGTCCTCCTCCCCTGCCTCGGTCCGACCCTGCCGGCCTCCCAGTGTCGATGCTGATCCTCAGATCTCGACCGTCGTATGTCCGTCCGTTCAACGCTTCCATTGCGTCCTACACAACACAAAAATATTATTAACAGGTCTTGGTCAAGTCCAGCCAAAGTCTGCTCAGTCTAAAAAAGAAAACCCCAATTTGAGAAAAAGAACATTTTTTAAAAACCGGAGTCCTTGGAATAAAAAATGATTTAGCTGTTGGTTTTTAATTACCTTTAGTAGCAGGTTATCCGACTAAAACATTCCGTCATTAAAAGGTAGCATTTCACAACAGGAGCTACAGTAGCTTTTATACTGCAGCTGACAACCAGGAGCAGCTAACTGCTGTTATGTTAACAACAGTTGTGACAGTTGTGATGTGACTACTAATTCCTTGACTGTTACAACGGGGTCAATATATGACAGTTGGAGCTTTGCTAGCCAGCAGACCCAAGAATGTCTCGATAAATTAACATCTGAAGAATACGTTCAAATTAGAACAAATAACAATATTCAAAGATAAGTCAGCGCGCAGTAAATTCAAATCAGGTAAATATTTTCTTATAACCCCACACAATTTCTTGGGGATGATCAGACTAAGAATTCTTAAAAATATACCCCTAAGTGAGACAAATTAAAAAAATAATAATAATTTAATTTTTCGTAGTTAATTCAAATATCTCAAAAAAGTCTAACATTATTTAAAAAAAATTCAATTTCTTATTTGATTTAAATATCCAATAAAAACAAAATTCATGTCATTTTCATGCTCTTTAATTTTTTAAAGGTTTGAATAATGGTAGACACCTTAACAGACTGAAAACGTACTTTCAGGTAACTCTCCATGCAAAGATGACAAGGTCTGATTCATTATGGTACCCTCAGCTTTGCTTGACCAAGCATGAATGAAATATCAATGTTAAATAATTTAATACTAATAAGTGACTTTATATTGCAGGAAAATGTGTAGGAATTTCCATAGTTCAACAACTTTAACACTAGAAAAACAAAATGTCGTTCAACACCATTGATCAGAACAGGTTACAAGGGTACCGTTGTAAATAAGGCTTTCATGATTTCAAGGAGAGTCCAAATTACGCTTCCAATCCTTTACCCAAAATTAGATTTGAACTCCATATTTAGAACATAATAATTACCTCAGCATCTCTCTTCTCGTAATATCTGACGAATGCAAACCCTCTGGATCTACCAGTCTCTCTCTCAGTCGGCAGGAATACATCCCCAACATCCCCGTATTTGTCGAATAGAGGTCTCAGGTCCTGGACAAGTTAATAGTTAAATATATTATTAATTTGAATTTTAATTGAACGCAAGATCGAAAACCAATTGGGAACGTCAATTTTTTTCTGCGGAAATACAAAATATGCGGTTTTTGTAAATTTTCTTTCTGTAAAATTTATGGAGGTTCATTTAAAGTAGACGAACACCACCGAAAAAAGTGGTGAAGTTAAATACAATAGTTCAGTGATTTTAGTGATAAAATAAAAAATATGAAAAAAAAATTTCATTTAAAATATTTTTTCCACACTGTTTCAACTAGAAATATTGCGTCTCGATGAACAATGATTTATTCATTTTTTAAGAAAACGCGAATCCCTGACTAAATTAAATTCTTACCTCCATGCTGGCTTTGAAGGGAAGGTTTCCCACTCTTAGTGACGTCATCTTCTCGAGATCTTCAGGACGACGACGGAAAGACATTTTATTCTGTGCGTATTTTCTGCAAATATTCATTTCTTCATTCCCGCGTTTTTTTTTCAAATTTTGAATATATACGCACTTTTTCCAGTAAATTTTACAACAATTAAATGGATTGATAATACAATATTAAGTTCTTCTTGGTTTAATGCCTCTCAGAAGACCTATGATCTGCTGCGGGATCCTGAAAAATAAATTTTAATCAATATTTCTCGGAGATAATAAAGAGTGATTTTACACCAACAAAAAATACAGCGGTTCCAATAAAACTGTCAAATAATAAGATACTGCACGACTGACGTTAGATTGTTAATAGGCAAATGAACATGATTCGATATCCTAAATGGAAATTAGAAATCGTACACAGTCTAGGATTGAGGGGCGCTCTGGTCAGGGGAGGAATTTGAGCTGAAGAGATTGAGCTTTAATTCTCAAATGAAGTGTCCACAACGGATATCGATATCAAGTCATAACAAAAAAGGTCTGATCGTAACTATAGCGAATATATTCGCTTTTTAACATCAGTTTGATTAGAATAATAGAATAATATAATAGAATCGAAAATAAAAATATTTTACTTGAATCTCTATTTGCTCGACCCTTTCCACGAGCTCTGGATAGGCTCCTTGATCTATCCCTCCTGCCTCCGCCTCTAGATCTGTCTCCGGACCTGCTCCTACGCCTTCTATCTCCGTCACGGTTTCCGCCCCTGTATCCGCCTCTATACCCGTCTCTACCACCATCTCGTCCACTAGAAAAAATTCATTCTTTTTATTCAAAGGTCCGCCATTTAACGTATAATTCAAAATGTTATCTAAAGTTTGTTATAAAATCTGATTTAAATTAGCATACAAACTTTGACTGGACAAAAATAGTGAAATTTGGATTAAAGAAACTTGAACAAGTGTCCAATCATGCAACCATGACAATGTCTGATTCACAACGGTTCTTAAAGCTATTTTTGACAAATGAGGAAAATATTTTCCTTTTTTTTATAGTTTTATCAGTTTTAATTATAATATAATCTAAATTGTTTTCCTGCAGTAGAAAAGCGCGAGTCATTCCATTCAAGATCGAAACCAGAATTGAAAATAATTATTATCAATATTATTAATATCTAATTCATACTTGATCAGACGAATCTTATTAGGGTACCGTTGTGAATCATCATATTCCGGACATTTACTAAAATCTGAACCATGAAATAAGGTGGATCCGCATTTTAAACTACTGCCGTTTGAACTATTGATCATTTGAACTATTGATCTTTTGAACTATTGTTCATTCTAGCTACTGATAATGACGTAATTTCCTGTAATTGAAAAAACACATTATTTACTCATTTGAATTTTTAAATATGTAATTTAAAACTTATATATTTCATGCAAAAAATATAGGAAAAACAATCATGACAAAATAGTTTAAATGAAAAACAATATTTCACATATGGACGTATAAATAATTCAAATGACCAAAAAATAGTTCAAATTAGCAAAACAATTAAGTTCAAATTAACCAAAACATAAAGTTCAAATGAACAAAAAATAGTTCAAATGAGCAAAAAAAAGTTCAGATGATCAAAAAGAGTTCATTTTATCTATTTTTTTGGGCTCATTTGAACTATTCGTTTTTCTCAATAAAACTATTTTTGACTCATTTGAACTATTTTTTTTTGCTCAATTGAACTATTTTTTGGCTCATTAATGTGGTTAGCGATGTAAAGGGTCTCCAAAAGTGAAAGGCTTAACATAATTCGGTGTTACAGAAATATTTTGCTTGCTCATTTATCTAATATTTTTCGGCTCAATTGAACTATTTTCTTAATAGTTCAAATGAGCAAAAATTGTTCAAATGCGCACAAAATGTTATCGTTTTAACTATTGGTCGTTAGAACTGCTACACGAGATACCACGTGCAATAGTTCAAACGACCAATAGTTCAAACGGCAGTAGTTCGAACTATATAGCACCTGTAATAACTTCACAGGCGTAAATACTGTATAGTGTATATTTTCTATAAAATCATTCCTCTCTTTTAGAATTCTTTACTCACACACCCAAACTGAGGCGCGAAGCTTGAGGGTTTTATTCGCATAATCGGTGGAAGAAGAGGAAATTGAGGAAAAAGGATAAAAAATCTTGTCTTTTGAAATAAATTTTTCACCCTTACAAAATTAATACCCTTGAAGATGGGATGTTTCACAAACATATTTACTTACTTACCCTCTATTGTTGCCGTATCCTGCAGGTCTTCCGGTATCTATAGAAATCCTTAGATCACGACCATCATAAGTTCGCCCGTCCAGTGCATCAATTGCATCCTAGAAAAATTTACTTTTCAACGTTCAATATAAAATCTTTCCGAAAATGAAAAATTTGTTTTAACATTGTTATGTAATAAGTCAATTATTGGGGAAGATTTTTTTGCCTAAAACTCAAAATTCCTAATTCTTACGTCTTTGTAAACTTGTATTAAGCAAAACTTGAGGGTTAAGCCATCAGGTTGTTTATTAAAAATAAAGTTAATTGCGGATCTCAGTAAAAAAGTTAGATTAAGGACTTTTTCTTCAGTTATATTCTTTGTTAAACCAAGTATTTAAATAAAAAAAACATTGAAGACATTAATTTTGAAAACAGGGAGACGGGCATTTGTTTACCTTTGAACAGACTAACAAAATGTTATGATGTCTACTGTCCTTAAACCCAACTATACAGACAGATATCAGCACTATACAGCTCAAAACCCCACCAACTGTACTGACTTCATGTACACTACTTGCTGTACATAACTGTCAGCACCGCTCACTGTATTGGTGTAAACAGTACCCCATTCTGTACCGCTGTCAACAGAACCCCATTCTGTACCGTGGTCAACCATTCTGCTTTCTGTACCGCTGTCAACAGTATCGCTTTTTGTACAGCTGCCCAACAGTACCGCTGTCAAACGCAACTAACAGTGCTGTCAACAAAATCCCACAATTCCGTAGAACACAGTTGTTGCTGTGCCAAACAATCAAATCCGATATTCCGTTTTAAACCCAATCGTTATCTGAATAATTATTTCAGATTAATTTTCTATAAAATATCTTGGGAGTGATGTAATTTAAAGCAGTGCTTAGGATCCATTTAATGTTGATGCGGATCCTGAATCCACACTGGAAAAAATCGGGTCAAGGTCATTTCTTCATTAAGGTTTACTGATTTAAGAATTTTTCAAGTTTGTTTATTTTTTTTTGGTTTTCTTTTTCTAAAACTTTATGAACAATTCAGAAAGCAGGAAAACTTGATAATCTCTTATTAGTTCTGAATTGGTTTGAGTAATATTTTTTTTTTCAGTTTTGGTAGATATTTTGTCCTTTGGATCCGAAATCATAGATTCGCATATTTTTGCGGATCCGTATTCAGGAAGCCAAAAATCTTGCGGATCCAACTGATCCGGATCCTAAGCACTGATTTAAAGCACAAATTAGTTTTTTAAATGTTTGGACATAACATAAAAAATATTATGAATTTTTGTTTACTAGGTGGGGGGGGGGGCTGGAGCAATTTGTCCAGCAAAAAAATTTGTTATAACATCCTAATAATCAAGAAGAAAACGTTTAAAAATTACCTCCGCGTCTCTCTTCTCGTAATATCTGACGAATGCAAACCCCCTGGATCTTCCAGTCTCTCTCTCAGTCGGCAGGAATACATCCCCAACATCCCCGTACTTCTCAAACAATGGGCGGAGATCCTGAAATTAAAATCGAAATTATGCTAGAGAGAAAAATCTCTATCGTAAGGGTCTGAAAGCGTAATCTCACGAGAACCTCAGTTCTAAGATAACAATGCCCGATAATGTGGAAGATATTTCTCCAGTTTACACATCTGAAATTGTCTTGTATTTTGAAACAATTAGCCGTAGCGCCCCAACTATACGACGCAGTTCACATACAGACTTTGGAATAATTGAAATAAACATAAGTCCAATTTCTTAAAGATTTCTAAAACCCTAGTAGATTTCCTCTAGAGTTAACTGCTACCTCCGATTTCTTGAACAAGTTTTTACCCTGGGTAGTCCAAAATTACTCTAGAGTAGAATAATGCATGCTTTTCTTGAACAAGACGTATTTACCCAGAGGCCGTACCTTCCATTAACTACATTGGTCGACAACTTGATGTCTCCTATATTGGTCGTCAAATGTACGGAGAAATATCTATTTATCAGACAAGAATTTAACATGAGACATCTAGCGGCCAACATATCGTCCCCAAGTACGTGAACTACACGACCAACTTTCTATGGAGAGAATGGGCTCTGGGTAAATACATAAAACTTGCTTATTGCGCATGTGTATAAAATTACGTCAACATATAAGTGTTGGGTTTAAAAGTCGTCATTGCTTATAAGACTAAAAATAAAATCGCTTTTCTTGAACGGAGCGAATGGGCCCAGGGTAAATACGTAAAACTTGCTTATAGCGAATGTGTATAAAATTACGTCAACAAATATGGATGATGATGATGATGATGATGATTTTTAGGCATTCACATGATTTTGGTTAAAACTTTTAAAATTTCAATAATAAATAATATGCCAAGATGGTGCTATGGAAACGCCCCAACACGGAATCAGACCCATAAAAAAACATAAACCACCCCAACATGATTTTTTTGAGCGCATGTGTATAAAATTACGTCAACATATAAGTGTTGGGTTTAAAAGTCGTCATTGCAAATATGAAAAAAAAAAAAAAAAAATTTTTAATTTTAATAAAAACTAAAAGGAAATAATAAGAAAAAACCTAGTTTTTTAAAATCATGATTTTCTTGTTTTTATCACAACAAAAATGTATAAAGTTTTTTCGGCCATCAATTTTGTTAAAGAAATAATGGATGGACATTAAATTCCCTGCTTAAAAACTCGTTATTATGTTATTTCGCTTTTCTAAACTATGCAATAATATTTTATTTATTTTCTGGTCTCTGTTAACCCATTCGACTCTGGGTAAATCTAATAACCCTGAGTAAATCTCAGGATCTACCCTGAGTTTTCTCTACCCTAGGTAATTTAACTCTAGAGTCGATTGTAACCCAGAGTATTGAAGGTCTAAATAACTGGAACTAGGGTTAACTCTAGATTTAACTCAGGGTAAACTCAGGGTATAACCCAGGGTATTACGACTGAGAAATTGCACTATAGGTATATTCCTAGAGAACGATTTTAGGGCGCTGCGGCCACATGATCAATGATAACCGTGTACAAGATGGAGATTAAAATAATATTAAAAATCTACTCACTTCTCCGGTAGCCTTGAAGGGAAGATTTCCCACACGAAGTGAAGTCATTTTATCAAGATCTTGTGGTCGCTTTCTGTACGCCATTTCAATCAATAATCGTTAAATCTGAAATCATGTATTAATCTTTATAACCTATATAAAATCAACGTGAAACTATTTATGTAGTAATTTCATCAGTCGGATCGAATTATCAAAATAAAATGAATTCTGTCAATGGAAAGGACATGCAGTCCAAAACTCGCATTTTCCCGCTTCTCCTCTCCCAGTATCAGTAAATTACTTTAAGAAAAGATGTTACCACAAATTGAAATATCAAAGAAGAACTACTTAAATGCGGAGATGGGATAGGACTGTAGGAGACTTCGCCTGCCAGCAGCAGCTATATTAATATATTTCAACCAATGAGAACTCGACTCTCAACTGTCCGCCAATGATAGGCAAGCATTTGCAAAATGCTGCGTAAATAAGAAACTTCGGAATAAATCCGCAAGGTGTAATTTTTTGAATAATATGCGGGGAAATGTAAAAGACGACATAATGAGTTTTATACAGAACATACAGTGTGTCCTACGAAACATGACAGTTGGTAAATAATTTAGAATGTCTTCTTCAATAATTTGTTTGATTTTGATTATTTCATAAAAAAAGACAATAATAAAAATATTATATAGAAGAGTCGAGTTATCGCCAAATTAATTTCATTGAGTAAAATCTGCTTTTTGAGAAAAAGATTTTTTAAACGAAATAAACTGCATAAAGCCAGTACTACCAATACAGCAAATGGAAGACGACATTCAAAACTTTTTACCAGCTGTCATGTTTCGCGGGACACCCTGTATTTTAAAACAAACAAAGCGGCAATTTAAGAGGGGGAAAAGGGGCCAGACTTCCCCCACGTGGGAAAATTAGGGGCTCAAGAGCTCGACATTTTCTAGTTTTAGCCCTTGATTTTTATACAGAATAGACACGAAAAAAGTTCAAAATACAGGGTGTCTCACGAAACATGACAGTTGGTGAATGTTTAAAATGTCTTCTTCCATAATTTGTTAAGATGTTTGATACAAAAGACAATAAAACAAATATTTTACGATAGTCATGTTATAGTAAAATTGGTTTCAAAGTAAAATATGTTTCAAAAAAAAGATTTTTTAACGAAATAAACTGCAAAAAGCCTTTAATATCTAAAATGGTATAAGAAAGACTATTTACCAACTGTTATGTTTCCCGGGACACCCTGTATATTGGAGAAGGTGGGGTTTATTGAACAGTTTTCTCTTATAATTTTAATGCCATTTTAACCTCGCTAAAAGGCCATAAATATTTGAAAATGTGCAAGGTCTTTTTTCTAAAGATTTTCAAAATAATTTGAATTATAATTTTATTTTATATAATACGCACTTTATATCAGAATTGAATAAAGTGCACATTTTCCATGATGGAATTGAAAAATTTCAAAAAATAAATGACAAAAAAAGTTGTTTGAATTTTTTGAAAATTTTAGGAAACGCGATCCAGTACATCTCGAGTAAATTTTAAGGTGAAAACCCGGCATTTTAGTGCAAAATGGTTCTACAACGACCAGCGATCTTTATGGGCATTGTATATCTACTTATAACTTTTTAGGACTCGATAAAAAAACTATAAAAAACGAGAGCGTATTAGTGTAAGGGAGAGGGGCCGGGCGCCGAAATGTTTTTGTTGTGCACCCTAAAAGNCCCCGCTCTTAAAAACCATTAAATTTTGATTTTTGACAAAAGTATTGATTAGTTTTTGTCTCCTTATCTGCTTGGTTTTGAACATTTGTATTTGTTAATTGCATGCATATATGCAGCGGTACTAGCAGGGTGGGCGTCGCGTCGTTCCATACATGTGGAACGATCGTTCTTTCACAGGAACAAAAATTGTTTATCAATGGTTCTTAATGAAGGTTAAAACGGTATTTTAGAGCAAAATGTTATAACTCAGACCCCCCAATTTATGGGCATTGGTCCAATATGTTGGTAACTATTTAGAACAATAAAACAACGTCATGTGGATAAAAACCCCACCCCATAATAATATCATTTCAAAAAAAACATTTAAACACTAAAAGTTAAAAAAAAAATTAATTACAACATGACCGACTTAATCGTATTAAAATAGAGCGTTAGTTGTTATCTATAAAATCAGGAGGGGTNCATGAGCCGCAACTTTTTCCCTTCAATGTCATATAAAAGCTTTTTTGTCATCCAGCATTCATTAGCCACAACCTTTTTCCATTCCAAGCTAATTATTTCTTTTTTGTCTTCCGGCAGCCATGGAGACAAAACTATTTGGTCTTCCTTGCCACAACATTTTCTTCTTTCAGCAAGCATTACATTTTACAATTGTAAATTTATTGCATTCAAATTGAGATTCTCAAATATTCACTTCATTTTATAAATATATACTATAAATGAATAAGTTTTGACTAGAAATAATTATGATTCCTATTAATGTTAAATGCTAAGCTTATTTTTTCCCAAACATTAATAAAAACGTTCCTCAACAATTTCTCATTTTTGAAAGCATTATGATTATTATATTAACAGTGTGCTCACTGTCCATAGCCGAAAATGAAGTCAAACCTTATAGAAATCCAACGTATAGAAACAGCTACGTATAGCAACAAGGCGTATTTTCCGGGAGAACATTTTTTATATTTTTGAGAAATTAAACGTTTTTGTAAAACATTGCAGCTTATCATTATCATCATCATAATTTCTATTTTTTAACATAACCTAGACATTAAAGGAGCAAAATAGTTAAATACGTACATTTGTACTGCTCTCTATTGTGTTTAAGGTCCCCCAGATTTATGTACTGACAACATAAATGATGAATGATTAAATGGTTATACATAAAATTACATGTTACTATTTAAAAAAATATTTTATAAAAATGCTATCTACTGCAGTTTTATTTTTAGAAAAAAAAATTCTTAAAAGTATAAAAAAGTTCTCCAGTAATGCTAATGATTTCATAAAATTCCGTTTTACCATTTAAATAAAAGAATTTTATAAAAATTATATCTACTTTACACTGATTATTTAATTTCTCAAAATATAAAAATGTTCTCCCGCAAAATACGCCTTGTTGCTACACGTAGCGGTTTCTATACGTTGGATTTTTATAAGGTTTGACTTCGCCGAAAATTTCTACTATTTAAATAAAATTGCAAATAGATTTTTTTAGGAAATATGTAAGGCTTCAAGGTATAGGGCTGTGCAAGTGTCATCATTTTCAAGTCGGTTTGTTGATGGTCAGTTTCAAAAGTTTTAAAAAAAATCTCAGTTAGCAGTTAGTTTTAGAGGGTAAGTTAACAAAACTTTGTTTTGTTAATGCTATTTTCCGTTTTTTTTAAGTTACCATTAGTTAACGATCTCAATTTAATTATAAAAATCGCAATTTGAATGCACCTTTAAATCGTCTTTCAACTGTCATTTTTCGTGGGACACCCTGTATTTTATTTTGCATTTATTGTAGATAATTGCGATTTTCTATGGGTTAAAGTTGATTTTCTTTTGTAATATAGACTTTCAATAAATACTCATATTTCTAGTTTGCTTCACAATATCAAAATATAACGAAATTATGTTTAATTCTTTAGCTGAACCAAATAGAACAAAATCATATAAACTTGAACGGGTTCTCTTTAAAACCCTAGAATGTTTTCCCTCTGCCTTATTTCCAAAAATATGGAATTCGATTGAATTAGAGCTGAAAGAAACTAAGTCTGCAAAATCGTTTAAAAGAAAAGTCGCCAAGATCTATTTAGATAGTTATGCAAATTATATCTGTAAAAAAAAAAACTGTGTATCATGTGGATAAACTTAGTCTTTACTATCTTCTTCACCCTGTAGTTCATAAACATGTTTCTAATAACTTATGTTACCCTCTGTTCCAACCCTTACGCTGAGTATCCTCCCTTTTCAATATACTCCCTAACCTCCTCCTTACCTTTTACCTGATTTATTATCATTCTTATGTTTAAAATGTACAATGTACATTGTTTTTATCTGCAATTCTCATTTGTTTATAGTGGGCCAACCAATTAAAACAACCTACTCTGGTTAGGTGGGTCAAAACTACATAGTAAATTGTGATTTTTTTATTTGTATTATCTCGTGCTTTGTAGTTGAATAAAAATATGAAACATGAAACGGTTACCTTATTAATAATAAATAAAACAGAATCAAATGGTTTATAGCAACACAGCGATTGAAGGAAACATCATGATTATACGAACCATTCCACGGCACTTTGCTCGGTCAGAGCTCGTATACTCAACTACCCCGAGCCTATCCTCCTTCCCCTATCTTCCAGGTTCAGATCGATGAACCCACGCCATCCCTAACATGGGGACGCTGTCGGCAAGTCGGCTTGGCCTGTTGCTATAAATAGCATATTTACTGGCGATAAGGAAAACACGAACTAACCAGGGTATTCTCCCCTCATTGACATATATACAGTTTATCAAAAAAAAAACCATCCTTCTGTCTAAGGTCACAGTAAACCCAACCCAAGGGTTCTCAACTTGTATATAGTAACGTACAGTTCATTGCTCCCAAGTAGAGAAATATAGCCTAACAATCCAACTTAAAAATAAAGCCTACAATCGAACCTAAGCCCAAGACGATATTGAACTCCTGTTTGCAGCCTGACTATACAACAGGCTAGACCTGCAAGGGTATTGAACCCTTTCTTATCTGGTAGATATCAAGAGTACCGTTAAAGGGCGAAACTAGGGAAGGATCAATGCTGTATAGAAAGGAGCCAAACAGCATTTCTATAGTTGAGGCATACAGCAGTTTTATCGGCCATATTATGCCCCAGAATTTGTCTGTATGCACAAAGCAAGGAATAGGAGAAGTTCCATGGAATATACATTCGCTACTATATGGGCGAATGTTGTGTTGAAGAAGAGTCAATCGATCATATGATCATCAGTTTGTATAGTTAACCTTTAAATATAGTTTGTGTGTAACCATGTTTCATTATTCCACTCAATCTTGGTCTTTTACTTTCTGTCCTTTTTCAAGTCTAAACTATGCATATCATTATAGTGTTTGTCATCAAAACGTCTACAAGGGGGGCAAGGGGGCAGGGCTCCACCCAAGACCTGTGAAGGGGCGGGCGGGCTATTCCGCCCCCCCCCACCCCCGAATTTAGACGTCTTATTTTTATCTTCTTCAAATCAGATCAAATTATAAAGGAATTGAGTCTTTTCCACAAACTCAAATTTTTAAACCTCTATATCTGTTCAAACTAATAGCGCAACCCTTTGATATTTCAAACTTAGACTATTTGATCTAACAGAATGTATAGTTTGAAATATCTAAGGTCTACAACAATTAGTTGAGAAGATATACAAATTAGAAAATAAGATTTTGTTGCAAAGACTCAATTCCTTCACCCATAAATGTAAGATATAAAAATTAATATTTACAAATAAAACAATTTGGCGGCAAGGAGATGGAACTGTTTTAACTTGGTCTCTCGGGTATATGTCATCAAAAAAATTTACTTAAAAAAGAATTTTACAAGAATGAATTTACCAAATTGGCTGAACGTTTTTTACATTCCAGGGGCACGTTGGGTACTTTATCTAGTGAATACACATTTCTAAGAACAAAATTTATTTTGGTATTTAGACTTTACTTGACAAAATTACAATAACCTATAAAACTAGAAGCTAAAAATTCTCTGGTGCAGCTTCCTAATCAAATATTCATCGTTCGACCAACATTTTTTATTAAAATATGCGGGAAAATCCATGTTTAAATTTCGCGGGAAACTTTATTTAAAAAAACGCGGGAAAATCCGAAAGATGAACACGTGCCTTGGGTTGGAAACCCTGAAGTCTCTCAGGAAGAAGATGTGTAGGAGGCAGGGGGGATTTACCAGGGATAATTGTATTCACACCCTATAAGATCAAAAAATTTATTTTATTTTAAAATTGAAAAAAAAATATTTTTACCTCGCAATCTTTAAACTGAACTCCTGCACAGGCTGCATGACAACTGTTTGGGTAAATGATCTCCTAAAAAATATAACATAAAAATCCTTGAAATTATAAATTTCTTAAATTATTTAATTTTGAACTGCTTTCCAAAAAAGTTCGAACCAAGTCTCAATTTCCTTTAAAATATCGTCCTGGAATATTTTTAAAAATGTAAAATTTCAAAAATACCTTCTAAAACGTGTAATATTTAAAATCTAAAAACTAAATAAATTATAAGTTTTTAACCTGATCTAAACTGCATACTGGGCTAAAAACTGCTGAACAATCACTAAGATTAAAGAAAAATTAGTTTTAAACAATTTTAAAATACATAAACCTTTTCAAATTGAATGTTTGTATATTCAATTTCAAACAGTTTTTAATTCATTATTATTATTTAGCTAATTTGAATCATTACTACAAAATGTTATCTATTAATATGTTTGTGTGAAATATATTGTAAAATAACAGAAATTCTCTTAATTTCAACTGATTCTAAATTCTTAGTAACATTGTTGACGAAATTATCGTTTTACTTTCAATGGAAAATTTCCTTCTTTAACAATGCTACATGAATCCACAAGACCCTTTTTTAAGGAAACCGCAATTAAAAAATCATCTACTTTAAGGATCTCATCAGGTTTTCTCGAACGAATATTTAAGGGTACCGTTGTAAATTGTATGGCGATTCACTTACAATTATGTCGAAATTTCGGATGAAAAAGTTTATTTAATCTATATATAAATTTGGCTTGTCTGTCTGTCTGTTTGTTTGTTTGTTTGTATCCAATAAACGTCAAAACGGCTGAACCGATCGGGCCCAAATTTTTTGTGGGACCTCACGGAGCCCCAGGGAAGGTTTATGAATGATCAAAATTTCAAATATTTGTCTCCATCAAAATTCGATCTTCATTAAATTTTTGAAAATCTTGAAAATCCACGAAATTTTTTGTAAAAATCCGCAAACTATTTTTGTTTTGTTTTACGATGTACACAAAGAGAACATGTTCACAATTAATTTAGAAGATGGGCGCGAAGCGCCCTATAAGGCTAGTATTATAAACATTCTTAAAAGGGAGAGATGTTGTAACTTTAAGTGTACTCCCAATTGCAGAGGGGTATGCCAGATTCACAACAGTACCCTTAAACCTTTACTGTTCAATCAAATAGAAGACATCGTCTTTTTTCTAGTTGGAAAAGGGTAAAATTCTGATAATTCCTTCAATCTTGCCTCTGCAGTAAAAATGCCGAAGTCCATTTTCTGAGAAAGCACAGAATGGAAAATAATGAATATTAAGTGTTCTGCATGGATTGGATATTCTTATTTTTGACCAGACAAAGCTTATTAGCATACCGTTGTGAATCCACATTTCATTCTATAAAAGGAGAGTCACTTCAAATTTCGACTAATACAGTCTCTTTAGTTTAAGATCTACAGCGAGAACAAGAAATTTTGTAATAGAAGACGACTTATATAATCAAATTATAACTTTAAAAGTCCAGTTAGCATAAAACACAGCATTTTCAATTATTAAACAACCCCAACTAATGTATTTCTGTAATGTCGTCTTCCTATTCCACAGTTTTCTGAGTATCACTGTATGCATGTAAATTGATATATCGTATTTTTTTTAACTGAACACTTTATGTTGGATGGTTTAAAACATGATAATGATATTGAGAAATACGTTTGCGCCATGATGTAGCATTTAATATATAAACATATACTTTCTTTTCCTACGCACGCACGCCGTGCGTTCAGTTGTGCAGAATTAAAATTGACCTTTTCTTTTGCAATATTTTTGTAATTTCAAATTTACAAAGAATATAAAGAGTGCATTGAAGCAATGGTTTGGTTAAACCATTCAACCATGGTTCAATTAACTTTATTTTAAGGTTTAAAAATTTAACGTTCAAAACATTTGAAAGAAAAGGCCAAAATAAATCGAAAGGATATTATTATTATAGGCAGAAACAGAAAGATAATATGAAATTATAGTTTTGTTAAGAAAATAAAAAATGTTATCGTTAATAATCAAATAATCAATAATAACACACTATAAAATAAAAGCAATTCAATTCCCAGGCATTTGGGGAATTACCAAAATTTCCCAAATTCCTATAGAAATTTGAAGGTGTATATTTTTAAGATTTTGGAAATTTCTTTAATGACTGGATACTTGGGAACCCCAAATGTCTGGGTATTTGGGAAATTTCCTAAATAGCTAGGCATTTAAGAAATTTCCTATAATTGAAAAATAAATTACCCTAAGATTCTTTAAGGAATTGGAGGAATTCCTCAGATTCCCAGGTATTTGGGGAATTCCTTAGATTGCCAGGCAATTGGGGAATTCCCCAGATTTCTTTAATTCCTGAAGGAAACTAGGAGTGTATTCTTAAAATTGTTGAAATTTCCAAAATAAAAAAGGCATTTGCAAAAATTTACTATAACTGAAAAATAAGACACATACAGATTTTTTTAAGCGTTTGGTGGAATTCCCCAGATTCACAGGCATTCGGGAGAATTCCCCGGATTCCCAGGTATTTGGGGAATTTTCAATTTTCTTAATTGCTGTTTACTCCCTTCAGAATCAGAATGATTACCAAATGATAGTTTTGTAAATAAAATAAAAATCTTATCATTAACAATCAAATTTGAATCAAAAACAAAATCCTATAAACTTGATGGAATTCAAAGCAATTTTTTACAAAATAAATTTTTTAAAATTTTTTACTTTGAGCATCCTTCACAATCTCCTGTTTCAGGTTCTCCAAACTGAAAGAAAAAACTTTTTGATTCCGAAAATGTGTGAAAAAAACACATTTTTTTCTTTTATAAAACTAAAGCAACGGTTGACGAATTTCACTGCATTTTCAATTAAAAATATTAAAAATAATGATTATAAAGGTTAAAAATATGTGAAGAATTAAAGGGACTTTTACATTATTTTTAAAAAATTTGTCTCCAAAAACAATTTTTTTTTCGTAAAGTTTTGAAAATCTACGAAAAAAATGACGAAATTCGCGAACTTTTTTGTTATTGTTTTATTTTGTTATTGTACAAAGAGAAGAAGCTCAGAAAAATAGAGACACATTTTAAAGTTCAAATAGAAGCTGGGCGCGAAGGCATGCCAATCCTTGACCTTGTCTCTATAAAGATGATTTGCGGATATAAAAAAAACTTTATCAGGTAAACGTTTAAAAGATACCACTGTGAATCAGGCATGCCTATCCTTTTTTTAAAAAGAGGGTCCCCTTTAAAATTGCAAACATTCCCTTTAATACTAACCTGAAGTCCGGCACAGACGGCATCACAGAAGTTGTATGTTTCATTATTGACACAGTGAGGTAGGTAGAGAACTATCCCATTAAATGGTGGAAATCTAGGGGGAAAATTTAAATCTTGAAAATTTAGAGAAAAATTTAAAAATCATAAAAAATCATACTCGGTTTTCGCACTCAACATAGAAGTTGAAATTTATTAACAAAAATAGAAATTTTTGCTTACAGGCAAACGTGAAAGTGAACTGGCATAAATCTGGCATGCATAAGTAATTGTTAAAAAATGGGTTACTTAAACTTTACCAGTCGACATTGGCAATCCCTTTAAGGCAAGAAATCAACCCAAATGTGTTTAAATTTGAGTGATTTAAAAACCTATGCGGATTTAAACATGAGTAATTTCATTTTTAACCCAATTGGGTTAAAGCTTCAGTGAGTTGTTTAAAACATTGGACTAAATGGGTTAAAACTTAAAAGCAAATGAACCCAATTGGGTTAAAAGTGCCGTAGTTTAAAAACGTTACGAAACAATCGAGTTAAACTTGGAGAAATTATAACACTCAGGACCGAAGTAATTATGAAAAGAATTATAAATTAAAAGTAACAATAATGACAGTTATAATAATAATTAATTATTTCTGCCTTTGTCTTGCGGACAACTAAATATGATGAAAAAATTCTTATGTCTTACCAACATTATCTAACATTTTGTTAATAATTTCGAAAAAAAGAGTATTTAATTTATTTTTTTGATATTGCTATTGATAAAACTAACAGCCAAATACAATATACATATTGGATAATAAACTTATCAACAAATTTACTGAACACAAAATGTAAAAGAAAATCATAGAATACAATTTCTTGAAATTCAAGAAAAAAATATCAAATAAAATAAAATATTATTGAAATTGATGAGATGAGAAAAGTTGCTTTTAAAAGAGAAACCATACCTGATTCCCATTAAGCAAACAGATAACAAAAATATTCTAAACATTTTTCTGAAATCGTGACAAATTAAATTCGACCACTGCTCAAAGGAATTGAGTCTTTTGCCGCACACTTAGGGTTTTATTTATAATATCTGGGTGAAATTATAAAGAAAATAGAAATTTGAGTTCGTGGCAAAGACTCAATTCCTGTGTAATCATGTGAGCTTTATGAGCTATGTAAGGTTTGTGAGCCATGTGAGCTATGTAAGCTATAAAAGCATATATTAAGCTTTGTGCGCTTTATGGGGTATAGTGATCTAAGCTAGCTTTGTGAGCTATATAAGCTCGGTAAGAAATTGGGAGCTATGTGTAAGCTATGGGAGTTATTTAAGCTATGGGAGCTATTTGTATGCTATGGCCGGGAGCTATGTGTAAGCTATGGGAGCTATGTGTAAGCTATGGGAGCTATGTGTAAGCTATGGGAGCTATGTGTAAGCTATGGGAGCTATGTGCAAGCTATGGGAGCTACGTGTAAGCTATGGGAGCTATGTGTAAGCTATGGGAGCTATATGTAAGCTATGGGAGCTATGTGTAAGCTATGGGATCTATGTGTAAACTATGGGAGCCATGTGTAAGCTATGGAAGCTATGTGTAAGCTATGGAAGCTATGTTTAAGCTATGGGAGCTATGTGTAAGCTATGGGAGCTATGTTTAAGCTATGGGAGCTATGTGTTAGCTATGGGAGCTATGTGTAAGCTATGTGAACAATGTGAAAGTCTACAGAGTACTGATTACTGAACCAAAGAGAGAGTTTCGTAATTGCAGCAATCATTACCGTTTATCTATCTATCTATCTATCTATCTATCTATCTATCTATCTATCTATCTATCTATCTATCTATCTATAAATTCATCTATCTACCTATCTATCTATCTATCTATCTATCTATCTATTTATCTATCTTTCTTTCTATGTCTTACTACCTATTAACCTATCTATATATCTTTAAATGTAAAATAAAATATAGACCACTATCCAGATTTTTCTATTTCTATTTTCTATCTATTTTCTATCTCTCTATTAGTTATCAATATATCTATTCCAGATTTTCTCTGATTAATATAATGCGGAAACATGATCGTTTGAATCTGACAATTTCAGCCTGGTTTTTACAGAAGAAAACCTCTTGTCGTTTTTATTGAGAACCCAAAGTTGAAAATAATCAATTTCTAATTATTAAAACATGTTCTCTCATTCAGTCTCTACTCTCTAACAAAGCTTCCGATAATGGAGGGTCACTTGAATCACATTTAACCCCACATTTAATGCCGTCTTCCTATTCCACAGTTGTATGGGTCTGAAGCTGTTCATTTGTGAACATTTTTTCATAATTATATATTCGCCCTGATTGCTATTTTTAGTGGATTATTTGATCTAATCTGGTGCTTTACAACTTTTCTGTAAATTGTCGAAATTTTATCTTATTTTGAGGCAAATTTTTAAATTGGATTGGAGCGAATTGCATTTTATTGCACACATGCATTAACTTGCGGAGCTAGTACAGAATACAGACAGACAGGATACAGGATACAGAACACAAAAATACAGACAAATACAGGATACAGAACACACAAATACAGACATATACAGGAAACAGAGCACTCAAATACAGACATATACAGGATCACAGGATCGATACAGAGCACTCAAAAAATATACAGAATCGTAAGACACAGAACAAAGAAACACAGAACACAGAAAACCGAATACAGAACACAAAACACAGAAAACAAAATAATAGATACACAATACACAATACAAATAAACAAGAAAATTACGTGAAGCTGTGAATAAGGAATATTGTACACACACCCACTCTCTATATATAAGGGGTGAAAAATTAAGAACTAATTTTAATTAAATTAATTTTTAGTTGAAAGCAAATTTTTCAAATGTTTTAAAGATGAAAGCAGGACCAGTTTAGAGGGGAAGGGAAACAGAGGCGCATCTTTTAGAATATCTTGGGTCAGTTTATACTCAGCGTTCAGATCTCTAGGCGCGCGTGCCTGTAAATCTAAGAAAGGTGTGGCGCGTGCCGTTTAACATTGAGAAAGATTCAAGATAGAACTCTAATTTTATTTTCCAAAATGGATAAAAGAAAACTTTGAAGCAATGAATTCTTATCGAAGTTGAGAGGATTTACACAGTTATAAGAATTAGTCACAAACTAATAAGACCGCGTCACTTTACAGTGTATTATGAAATTTTAAAGATTCCATTGCTGCTTGATGAGCAAATTTGATATTTGTTAATTCAGTTTTCAAAATCATAGATACATATTGCAAAAACGAAATAAAAACGCACCACTCATACAAAATGGGGAGTTGTATGCTTTAAAGCTCTATCAATGTAAACTCCTCAGCAGTTCAGTCCTCACACCCTGTCAAGTAAAAAAACGGTATCATTGTGCCTGGCTTGTATACCTATCAGGGGTTATACTTTTTAAGCTTCCATTNTTTTTCATGCAAGCCACATTCTTGTTTTTTCATGCAAGCCACATTCTCCTTTTTTCATGCAAGCCACATTCTTGTTTTTTCATGCAAGCCACATTCTTGTTTTTTCATGCAAGCCACATTCTCCTTTTTTCATGCAAGCCACATTCTCCTTTTTTATGCAAGCCACATTCTCCTTTTTTTATGCAAGCCACATTCTCCTTTTTCATGCAAGCCACATTCTCTTTTTTTATGCAAGTCACATTCTTGTTTTTTTTTCAAGCCACATTCTTCTTCTTTAGTGCAAGCCACATTCTCCTTTTTTATGCAAGTCACATTCTTTTTTTTTTCAAGCCACATTCTTCTTCTTTTATAAGCAAGCCACATTTTCATTTGTTCCATTCGAGCCACATTCTCCTTTTTTTTATTCGAGCCATAGAATATTTTTTATCCTATCATCATTCTCATTTTTTCATCTGAGCCACACTCTCTTAATTTTATCTGAGCCACCACAAAATACTCATATTTTTAATTGCTATTTGCGGCCTCAAATTATACCTAATTTACTTGTTGAATTTTACAAAAACCAAAGAAAACTTACGGGCGCAGCGATTTTATAAAAAGAATTTTAGGACAGTAAAGATAAAGAATCAATTTAAAGTTCTCATTAAGCCCAAGCCCCTCCTAATAGTAGAGATATGGCATCAGAAAATGTTCGCCAATACTATATGCATTTGTTTGTGTAAAGAAAGTAAGTTTTTTTTAATTATAGAATTGTTTACAAATTATTGGTTCTTTGTACTCCAAAAGTGCTTCCTATTGAAAAAAGTATTTTTTAGAAAATCAGATATTTAAAGTATCAACAATACATATATGCATCTAAGAGAATTTACATGGGATCAACGCTCTTGGGTATAAAGTGATTTCAACCCACTTTTGCCTAATATGACGCAACAGATAGAAGTAAAATTTATACTAGCCTTGAATCCGAATTTTGATGAGGCTTCTGCCTAACCACCCTTTCATTTTTCGTGAACACTCCCTTTAAAGTTAGATTTATCTTCATTACTTTCTATTACTCGGTGGCAACTAAAAAATAATGTTCCAAAACATTTGGTAATTTTCTATTAAAATGCCCTGAGGTCGCCAATCTCTGGAGAAACAGTTCAAAAACTGAAAAAATCAGTTCTAAGAAGAAGAATATTGAGGTGGCTCGGACGTCAAATTAGGAGAGAGTAGCTTGAATTCAGCCATCCCTCCCTCGTGTTTCGCGCCACCACATTTTAACCCTTTACACCGAATTTGATTAGTTATCATATGTCATGTTTAGCTTACGCAAAAATATTGCAATTGTCTTGATGCTGCGCTGCCAAATCAATCAAGCTCAATTTGCAACCCCAGCATATTTTGCAAACCTTCCAGCAGTTTTTTTAATTGGATTCATTCATTGCACCACTCCATTTCAGTTTTGAGTGGAACCTGGCTCGGCCCCCAAAGATTTGCTCAAGCGTCCATTGAAACGTAGAAGATCCAAGTTCTCCAATTTGGTATTTAGTTGAGTAGATTAAACCTCATGGGATTTACCATCTGCCCCCCTTCGCTACGGTCATTACGTTTCAATCGGTTATATTTTTTTCCATATCACAACACCTCTCATTTCAGAACCCACCACCCCCCCCCCTTCAGGAAAATTCCTGGCTACGGGCTTGTTGTTGAGTAAAATGGGTCTGTGTACAGTGTAAATGACATAAGCTGTTACTTAATAGCTATTATCTCTGTTTCATTTTAACAGGGCTTTTTTAGAATAGGGTATAACAATTATTTATCTACAATCGAAAATTCACCCTTTCTCAAAGGTCGTCGTTGTAATTTTAAGTGGTCCTCAATTTAAAGACGGCAATGCCCGATTCACAACGGTTACCCGAAACTAAGCTTTTGGTGTGCAATGAAATATAGGGGCTAAGCGGTATAAAGCATTTACTTGTGAATCGGACATGATGTGTCACTTTAAATTACGCTGTTTTCAGAACATATAATTGGACATTCTTTCATTTTAAAGAATTGGATCAGTTTTTTATTTGGTTTGGCTGGTAATTCTATAGTTCATGCTCCATCCATCATTGTCTTAGGTGCAATATCATTATTATGCAGAGCTGTGGTTAAAGGGAGTGACCGGCTAGAAATGGTAGTTGAACGGAGATCGCAATCTTTTAGAGGCATCTTTTAACATTCATTTGAAACCTTTTTACGGTGTATAATTATTCAACAAAAGCGCAAATTAGATCTTTAAAATCCTCCTGGACTGTCCATTTCGGAGGCTTGATTTTTAAAATAGATTTTTTAAACTATTCAATAACGATCACGAAAAATGTAACAAAAATAATACAGTAAACTAATTATAAGTGTAGGAACATAGAAGTGACAATCCATAATGAAAAAAATAGCCTTTTTTCAATACATTTAAATACATACCTTTAAAAAAGTGCGCTCTCAGTTAAATTATCATGTCTAGCCGGTCACTCCATTTAAACCGCGGCCCGGGGACCAGGGTTCAAAGTCTTGAAAAAAAATCAAAACATTTTCCATTTTTCATCCCATGTTTTTCCATATCTGTAAAGCAACTATGTTTATTAATGGTGCCAAACAATTGTGAACGTTTTAAACAATAAAAAAAAGAATAAAAGTCCCGTGATCTAAATCCCATGTGTTTATATTGAGAGAATGCCGCGTGCGGTACTGAATTGTTTTAGCAGCGAGGCAATCAATCAATTAAGATTTCTAGATCTTCCTTATAAGGAGAATATTCTTAAAAATAATATACTCTGATCGTTTCACAAGGATTTGGGAAGAAAAACAGTTAAACAGATTTATAAAATTTGTAAACATCAGAATTTATTTTTAAATATTTTCCAATTTTTTCTGACCCAGTCCTATAAATATGTACAAAATATTCACATTGCATTGCAACCCAAAAAAAGTTGGGTCCTGAACAATAAACATTTAAACATGGTGACCCACTTCCCAGTAGTATTAAAGGGACTGTATGCCTAATTTCAAGTGATCTTTCATTTAAAGAGAAGCATCTTCGACTAACAATGGTACCCTTTAAACCTTTGCCTCTTCCAGTCAGTCGGGTATATCCCTATAAATCTACTGAACCACTGTTTAAACAAAAAGATCATTCTACTCGATAAATAGTCAAAGGTTTCAAGGGTACCATTGTAAATCGAAGGAGTCAGTTGAAATTATGCTTACAGTCTCCTCAAAATCTATTGACTAAGCACAGTTTTCAACACAATTGAGATGAGAGGCACCCAGTATATATATAATCTATGCATATTATTTAGATATTGAATACTGCCCTGAAGAAACTTACGTCATTCCAGATCAAACAAATATGAACCCAGGTATACAGCGGGAACCAGAAAACAGTGGAATGATTGTCGATTCACATCTAGATTCAGCCAGCCACTATACACTGGGTTCCCTAGACCAGCAGTACAATACAGTACAGTACAGTACAGTACAGTACAGTACAGTACAGTACAGTACAGTACAATACAGTACAGTACAGTACAGTACAGTACAGTACAGTAAAGTACAGTGCAGTACAGTATATTACAGTACAGTACAGTACAGTACAGTAAAGTACAGTACAGTACAGTACTTATTATGTTGGATCTCCGGCTTAGTCTAGGATTTAGCCGAAGTCGAATATTATCTTCGAATTTATATGGCTATACCTTTAGACGCAAAATTTATTTCAGAGGTGAAGATATGCGCGTTTGGCTTTTTTCATTTTGTTCGTTCATCATTCGTGAACGGTTATTCTGTTTTTTTTTCAATCGGTCAAAAAAATTTATATCGTTCATTCTCAAAATTATCGTTCATTTTCAATCATTTAGTTCGTTTTTTCACTGAACGATCCCTCGGTAAAATCGTGCGTTCAAGGAATTCGTTTGTTCAGTAAAAAACGCTCGTTTTTTAGGGTTTTTTAGGGTTAGGGTAAAAAAACTAGAGTTTTTTAAAAAGGTGTTCAAATAGTTTGTTCACTAAAAAATAGTTTTTCAAAATCTTTCGAAAATTCGTTCTTTCTTTCAAAAAAATGGTTTTTCGTTTTTCGTTTTTAAAAACGATCATTTCTTCATTTCTCTGAACGATCCATCAAATTCGTCCATCGTTCGTTTATAAACGACACCCTTTTCCACAAAACCTTTCGTTCGTTCCAAAAAAAAAACATGCCAATCTTTATAAATCAGAGGTGAATCCTGTCATTGGCGGATTTTAAACCAAAAGATTTCCCGATTTAAACCTTTAAGCCCGTCATTAAGTTTGTCAACTGAGTTTACTCGCTGAATTTTGTTTCCTTTTAAACATTTATTCAAGGAAATGGATCCTCAGAAATCAATAATCCAGAAACAAGTTTGATCAACGCAATAAGGAAAATATCTAAAAATAAAAGTATAGACTCCAGGTATACTTATATTCAGACTTTAAGTATGCTTATATTCAGACTCAATATATACTTATGTACAGACTCCAGATATACTTATGTACAGACTCCAGATATACTCATGTGCAGACAAGCTATAAAAAGAATTGTACCACTGCGTTCAGCATGTAAAAAAGACCAAACACAGTTAAATAGATACTTTTGATGAAAAATGTTCTTTTCACAAAAAAATGTTTTGTTATAGTGTACATCTCTGTATTCAATATAGAAAGTGTTTTAGATTTCAAAATATGAACTGCAACTTTCAGGCTTTAAAGAATACAGAAAGGTGCATTTTTTGACCGAAACCTCTCATAGAAATGAATAATCTATTTATTCTTCTTTTCTTTATTTGTAAACACTCCCTTTAATTAACAATATTTGAGGTGTTACTGGACTTCCAGAGGATATCTGTACTCTTACTCTTCTTGACTTTTCCGTGTACTGTTCCTTTAAATCTTCAGATACAATCCTAGAAACCATCTTAAACTTTGGATATGGTAAGTTAAAGGAACTGTTGGCGTTTCACAACGATACCCTTTGAATCTTGTTCTGAGTAACAGTCCGGACGATAGCGTAGTTTCCAAAGAGCTTGGTAATATAAAGAGGAGGCATTGGGATTTATACGCAAAACCAGACGCCTCAATTGGTTTAATTGAGAAGCCACAGAATGTCGTCTGCACCAATACTGTTACCAATGACGTAATGTACAAGTGTACACTATTCGGATACGTTCCTAATGCATTAGCTTCTACTACTGGACCATCTTTGGTAGTTTCTAACTTGAAAAAATCTGTTCGTTTCCATCCTTGTCTCTGTTGCATACATATCTAAGCTGCTTTAACAGAGAAATCAAAATTGAAATAAACAATATTCAGTTAGAGAAATGAAGATATATCATTCATCAATTGTTTTGACACAAAGGTTGAAAGGGTATCGTTGTTGATTGGACATGTTACTTAATTTTATTATTACATATATTGGGATGTTATTTTCTTATAAAAATAGTTTAAAGTTATTTTCAATGGTGTTTCGTAAAGGTGACGTATACAAAACTAATTAATTTTAAAAGTCTTTTTACAGAAATAAGAAAATTAAAAAGTTAGAAATTCTGCAAAATAAACATTTAACCCCTTAAAGGGAGGGACCGGCTATGTAATATATTTCAACTCGGGGTTTCATTCGCAATTGCGCAAAAATAGCGCAACACTTAATCTGTTGCTGGCTAAATTATCTGGACCAAAGTTAAAAATTTAAATCTTAAATTGCATCATGCATGACACAACAAAATCGTATTGGTAGGACAACAAACTATTTTTATTGCCTCTGAGTCTGTTGTGATAGATATAAAAAATAATACAAATGTTGTGTACAAACTTACCGCATGTATAACAATAGTTGTGCATTTTGTTTTATTAACGTATAAACATATTTTCTATTATTATTCAAATAAATTTTAAACAGAATTTTGCCAAACTTTTCTGAAATTTAATAAAAAGTTTTTGCGCATGGAATTATTGAGAAGGGATGATCTGCAGAAGAAACTTGTATAAAATTATTTTAAAACCCGGAGGAAAATGTAACAACAATTCTACGGATCACTAGTCTGCACTCTCGGTTCAAATATATTACCCAGCCGGTCTCTCCCTTTAACTTTTTTGTTGTAGCTGAGGATCCTGGTTTTGAGGAAATACTGAAGATGAAAGAATTCTTTTTCAGCGCAGAAATATATTCAGCTCTTATCAGGTTAGCCCTGGCTGTATCTTTATAAAGTAGTAATCTCTGTTTGTTTGCATGTTCATAACCACGATAATGCAGTTCGCTTGGTTTGAAAAATCTAAGTTAAACTGACAGAGATGGGCATCGTTTTTTGTAAACAAACGAAATTTTTCATAAACGATGGTATAGTTCTGAAAAAAAATAAAACTATAGTTTTTAAAAACGAACGAAAAAAAACAACATTTTAATTCGTTAACGATCGTTTATGGGTCAGTCAGGCCGTTAATGAAAATTTTTAAATCTTTCTATCGGACGAACTTGAAAAAAGCTATATTTATTTTGATAAAGGAACGAATTTTTGAAACAAACTTTTGAAAAAAAAAAATTTTGCTGAACAAACGATTTTTACACAAGTTTTGAAAAATGATAGGTTTCAGAACTGGTTTAGAAAAAAATGATATTTTTTTTTGTAGAAAACAGGATATCTTAGAATTCATTTGGAACAATTCAATAGAAGCAGAGGACAGAGATATTAGGAATGATAATTCAATTTTAAATTTTTTTCAGTCCTAACATTTTTTTATTTAAAAAAAAACATGATTTTACCGGAAATATAAAGAATTTCCCTCTGATTTTATGCTATTAAAAACCCAAATTGTCAAAATCTAAACAAAATTATTTGGTGAAAAAGCACAAAAAAATGTGGAAATGCTAGAACTAGGGGTATGATTTATTATTTTGATTAAATTAAATTAAAATTGAATCTGATTATCCAGTTTGAACCTGAAAAATCTCCAAACCAAAGACGGTAGAAATGACATGAAATTGATCAACTCTATGGTGGAGCATGAAAAATATGAACTTTTTCAACATCCGTCCACTCAAACTTTCGTTGCACTGAAGTGGCAATTTTTGCAAAAATATTTGCACTTCAATCTCATACCCGCAGTTCTTTTTGCAATAGTTTTGACACTGGCTGTTATTCTAGAGCTAAACTATCACCAAAATCTAGATTACTTAGGAATGCAATATTTTAAGTCCTTTTTAAAAAATGAAAAGCCCTTATTAACGTTTTTTTAAATGATTAATTAAGGACCCTCCAATTAAAGATGTTTTTTTTCCTTTTTAAAAATTGATTATTATGTTATTACTATTACTTAATTTTTGTTACTTTTGTCTCAAAAAGTTGTGAATTTAGAAAAAAGAAATTTCATTTAATTTGTATCTTTTTAAGTAAAAAAACGACGACATCTTCCTCACTGTTGTTCGTTAAAGGGTGTTACTGTTCGGGTACCACGTTGTGAAATCGGGCATGTAAAAATTAACTAAAGGGGAAAATGGCGTTTGGGCAAAATACTAAAATTAAAGATTGCATAATTTCAGAGAATAACCAGCCTGTTACAGACTATTTAATAACTATTTTTTGTATTTTATTTTACCTTCCAAATCTATTTCAAATGATCTCCTTTGTTTGTATCTCAGCCAAAAAATCCCAACTCAAATGTACAGTTTTGGGACCCTGTTTTATTGTGGACATTCTTCAAGTGATCTTTCTAATTTTGTACCTGAGCACAAATCTTGAATCTGCGCTGATGCCACACACTCATTTTGCCGGCATTGTCGTCTTCATTGCCTGGTTGAGAGTTGCATTCAAATTGGAAGATTTTCCGAGGAACAGTGTTGTTATCCAAATGTGCATGGCTTCCATGATGGTAAGTGCTGTCAGATATTCATTTTTATCACACAAATATTAAAATTTTGCTCAATAAACATTATTTTACCTTTACATTTTTGTAATTCTATCATTTTTTAGGATGTGGCAAGACTTTTGGTTGTAGTTTCTCCATTATTTTTAGGAAAGCATTTCGCATCAGCTAATTCTAGACAAAATTTTAAAAACTGATTTACAATTAAAATATTTAAATTCAAATGATGTAAATGGTATACTTTAAGGATTCGTTTTCTCCTTTCATGCTCTCATTGGTGGCCAACAGATGGCGTTCCCTTCGAATGCAGTTGACCCGTCAACTGCTCAAGAAAATGTTGATCTTTCTTTCACTCAAGAAGATCAAACCATCACTGGACACAGTTCAACAAAGAAAAGAGGGGCTTTTGAGAGCCCCATAGATAGTCTTTTCAAGACATTTAGCTTAGTGATCGGAGAAATGGATTTTGATGTTTATTTTAAAGAGAATCAAATCAAAACACAAGGAAAATATCATTCATATAATTAGCAATAGCAATCGTAATAAACAACTATTGTTGTTGGCCTAAAAGTTAACAACCCTTAAAAGTTTGAGACAATAGTTAATTTAGAAACAAAATCAAAAAGGTTTGGAACGAAACTATTTGGAAAAAGCAAACGTGGATCAAACAATTCAGAGGAAAGCTTTCTTTTTAATAAAGGGGATGGTGGAGTTGGCATGATTGATGTAGGGGGGGGGGGGCGTTCCCCCCTTTGTTTTTGGTTCAAATCTTCCATTTTTTGGCTGCACGCCTAATTAGTGTTCGAAATTCCTAAAATAAAACCAGTTTGATTTTTAATGACCTCTAATGACCTCACATGAGGTCATTTGAGATCATTAGAAGGGCAAACACTGTATTTGTTGCTACTACTGTATTCCCTGGGTTCCAAGCTTTCGTTTGATAAGCATAAAGCCATAGTTAAAACATTTTCATTTTTGGAGGTCATTTGGGTCATTAGAGGTCGTTAGAGGTCAGTAGAACGTCAAACACTGGATTCGTTGCTGCAACTGTATTCCTAGGGTTCCTAGCTTTCGTTTGATATGCATTAAGCCATAGCTAAAACATTTTCATTTTTGGAGGTCATTTAGGTCATTAGAGGTCGTAAGAGGTCATTAGAAGGTCAAACACTGGATTTCTTGCTGCTACTGTATTCCCTGGGTTCCTATCTTTCGTTTGATATGCATTAAGCTACAGTTGAAATATTTTCAATTTGTGGAGGTCATTAGAGGTCATTAGAGGTCATTAGAGGTCATTAAAATTCAATTTGATTTTATTTTAGGAATTTCGAACACTGATTAGGCGTGCAGCAAAAAAATTGGAAGATTTTAACCAAAAATGAAGGCAGGCCCTCTCCCCCCTACATCAAACATGCCAACCCCACCATCGCCTTTTTCACAAGAAATTCTCAAGAATTTTTCTGAAAATTCTCAGGTCTTGGTCACCAATTTTACAGATTTTTGGAAAACTGAATAAGAGACTTAGTTCCAATAAATTTCTCAGAATTTGTCACCTTTTTTAGTAAATGCCATTAAAATAGTTTGATATCAATTTTAGGAACAACTCAGATTCTTTATACTTTCTTCACTTTAATCTTTTCATTAGGTAAGATTGTTTTTTTACTAAGAAGAATAAAGGAATTTGTAATTTTAACTGTAATTTTTAATGACTCAGAACAAATCGAAACTTCTGTATTTAAAATTTGTTCAAAATTATTCCTGGAATATAGCTTAAACCATACATTGAAACAAATGTGGATAACGAATTCAGACAATGTGGAATGAGCGCTATCTAACAATTCAAAAGTTTTGACCAAAAGTTTAAAGTGATTTAGAAAATTTCTTGATTCTTTTATCTTAAAATACATTAATAACTTTTAATAAATTCACTCCATTTAACGTTTAACTGCAATACATTTTACAAATAGCTTCAATCTGTGGAGTAATTCCTGGAATTTTTTTCGTGCATTTTAAGTAAAAAAATTGGTAGATTTTGTGAATTTGTGTCATATTGTTTAGGCATGGTGTCCCTTGTAACGGGGCTTGTAGTTCAGAATGTCAGAGAAATTAGTGAAACCTACCAAGAAAGAAAGGTACTTTTTGATTTAATAATTACAATTTAAACTGTAACATGTAATGAATAATTTAGATTGTTTTATAATCTCATTCCCAGACAGCCCAATTTTGACCATTGCATATGAATAGTATAATAATTGATAATAATGAGTAATAATTACCTTATAGAGTATACTTTCAGAAATAAATCATCTTTATTACTTATTTACAAAATTCAAGAATATTCAGGGCGAAATGCTTAAAATCTAAAAGCTAAATGTCAAAAAAAATATTAGAGGGGGTAAGACAAACATCTCAAACCCGCCCCAGGATTTTTTATTCAGATATCAGCAGGCTGGGCCAACCTTTGCGGTCCTGGTTTGGACTGTACCGCCAATTTACAATTAATAAAGCGGTAGACCTGTGTGCAGAACCTTACATCTATCATTTAAAAATACATATACAGGAATAAAGTCTTTGTCATAAACTCAACTTTTCTAATCCATATATATTTGCAACAAGTGTAGGTGTTAACATTTGATATTTCAAACTTAGACTTTTTGATCTGACAGAATTCATAATTTGAAATATCAAAGGTTTACGACATCGGACTGCTAAGATATGAAAATTAGAAAATCAAAGTTTGTGGCAAAAGATCAGAAAGATTTGATTTTTTTTAAGTTAAAACTTAAATTTTTTTTTTAGTTTCTGAAGAAGCTTGAGAACTGCACAAAGATGGAGGAAATCTTGAATTTTTACAAAAATATATTCAGGAAAAAAAAACATTTATCACAAAATATACAAAAATTATAAATTGAAATATTGGAAAACAAACTCTGTTAGATCAAATAGTCTAAGTTTAAAATATCAAAGGTTTACAACATCAGAGATGGAATTTAAAGAATTTGAGCCGCGGTTTAAATCCGCCAAAACCCGGTTTAAATCAAGCGTCGGTTTAAATCTTGAAACATTTGATACAATTTTAAGTGGAACCAAACATATTTAAACCGCGGCTAAAATTTAAACCGCCGCTCAAATTCTTTAAATTCGGCCACAGGTTGCAAAAATATAAAGACCAGAATATTAGAGTTTTTGGCAAAAACTGAATTCATTTCGATGTTGAATTAGTTTCTAAATCAAATGTTTTTTGATATTGTAGTTTCTCAGTTTTCAAACAGAAGATCGAACATTTTTCTCTTTCTAAAAATGTGTTTAAAACTGTCAGGAAACTAAATTTACAATTACTTTACTGAGCCAAACACTTAATGAACCCCAGTTTCATGAATGGGGTCAGCCAGTTTTGTAGTTACTGCAATATTTTTGGCAAGAAATATTTTCTCATGCGGTTTTTCACATTCTCTTTTTGTTCTCTGATTTCCAAAATTAAAATCTATGCAATAGTTTAGACCCTAAAAAGAAAAAGGTGTAATTTTAAGTGACCCTACATTTTTAGAGTATCATGTCCGCAATTCACATCAGTACCCTTTAAACCTTTGACTGATTAAGGATAATGGAATTATCCTTATTTATTTAAAGGGAGTGTTTGCGAAAAAAGAAAGAGGGTATAAGCTTACGGTGATAAATAATCGCTTCTGATCGCTACTAATCTTACTTCTATCTGTTGCGTATATAAGGAGAAAATTGTTAAAAACAAACGTCTCATACCGAAGAACAAAGCGTTCATACAAATTAAGGAAGTTATTCCAACTTCCTTAATTTGCATGAACGACTTGGATCGCAAAAAAATCAAATTAATATCAAACAAATGATTTAGATATTAAATCCTATAGTCATCGATTATTTTTCGACGCATTTGTATAAAGTTGATATTTCATAATATTTTTTATTTTGTGTTTTTAAAATTAATATTTCGCTTACAACTTGTTTTCTTGACTGGTGCATTCCCGGAAATTATGGAAAATGTCGTCTTCATTATCAAAATCCTCGAAACAGGAATGAATGTTTTCAAAAGTCACTCTCAGATCATAGAAAGTAAAAAATATTATGAAATATTAACTATATACGAATGCGTCGAAAAATAATCGATGACTATAAATTGTAATATCTGAATGCATTGTTTGGAATTAAATTGATTTTGTTCTGATCCGAGTCGTATGTTGCAACTTTCTGAATTTGTATGGACACTGGGTTCTTCGGTATTAGTCGTTTTTAACAATTTTCTCATTATAGACGCAATAGATATAAGAAAGATTAGTAGCGATCAAAAGCGATTATTTACCGCCGTAAGCCTATGCCCCCTTTCATTTTTTGCGAACACTCCCTTTAAGAAACGCTTTTTATTTCTAAAATTTCTTTGTTGTCAAACTGCTTTAGAGATAGCATTATATAGATTAAGATTGTATGTAAATAGGTTGCAGAAAAAATATCTACATTTGAATTTAGAAAATCGCATTAGACATAGAATATTTGGGATTTTCGCGGAAAACATGGAACGTCAACTGATTTGAGTTCACATTGTAGACAAGCGTACACATAATTTTAGAGGTAAACACACTGAGTGAATCGTGAGTAAATGGTTAAAAGGGTACTGTTGTAAATCGGATATACCTCTCCTTGCAGGGACGGTAACTTAAACTTACACTTACAGTACCTTAAAGGGACTGATGATGTAATTTAAAGAGACCCTCCATTTATATGTAGAGGCCTGAAGAGTATTGACAATATCACCTTTCTAAGATTTGTCTCAGAAAGCATGAATTAGATATCCTTGTTTTTATTTCATTAAACTGTTTATTTCCATTCGCGTATTCTCTGCGAAAGTGACTTGCACATGTCTTGCTTTTACGAAGCAATGGAGAAATTGTCTGAATTAAACATTTTTCAAGTCAGGAAACGACAGTACCGTTGTAAATTGGGCATATGGAGGTTCACTTAAAAAATACGCGCATTAAAAAACTATTAATTATAACTAGCCTTATAGGGCGCTTCGCGCCCACCTTCTAAATTAATTGTGAACATGTTCTTTTTGTGTACATCGTAAAATTTCATGAATGGGGTCAGCCAGTTTTGTAGTTACTGCAATATTTTTGGCAAGAAATATTTTCACATTCTCTTTTTGTTCTCTGATTTAATTAAATTAAAATCTATGCAATAGTTTAGACCCTAAAAAGAAAAAGGTGTAATTTTAAGTGACCCTACATTGAGTATCATGTCCGCAATTCACATCAGTACCCTTTAAACCTTTGACTGATCAAGGATAATGGAATTATCCTTATTTATTTAAAGGGAGTGTTTGCGAAAAAAGAAAGAGGGTATAGGCTTACGGTGATAAATAATCGCTTCTGATCGCTACTAATCTTACTTCTATCTGTTGCGTATATATGGAGAAAATTGTTAAAAACAAACGTCTCATACCGAAGAACAAAGCGTTCATACAAATTAAGGAAGTTATTCTAACTTCCTTAATTTGCATGAACGACTTGGATCGTAAAAAAATCAAATTAATATCAAACAAATGATTTAGATATTAAATCCTATAGTCATCGAGTGGATCAAGCATTAATCCCAATATCCACCATTCAAAAGTTCCCAGCTCAGGTTATGCGTAAATTGGAAACAAATATTGAAATTTTGTTGCTTACCAGGCTGAAGTATAAAATTGACAATGGAGCCCTTGTAAATATTTTGAAAAGCAGGTAAACTTATCTAAAAGATAAAAAAATAATGTTTTATTTTTTAAATAGTCACAGAAATATGAATATATGTATAGGCACTATACTTCATCTTTTATTTGATACTTTGTAAACTGTCTGATACTGTGTTTTGTACTTGAAAACATTTCACTGTATTTCCACCTGCCAGACCAAACTTCCTCGTAATTATTTGAAAAAAACAGTTTAACTTCCTTGCGGGATCATTTATTTCTCTAAAAGGAAGTTCCATCCATGTTTACATACAGTACATGATTTACTGCACAAAGTACGGAGCCTAGCTTTACTATACGAGTTCAATTGACCCTACAGTACATGATTTACTGCATTAAGTACGGGGCCTAGCTTTACTATACGAGTTCAATTGGCCCTACAGTACACGATTTACTGCATGAAGTACGGAGCCTAGCTTTACTATACGAGTTCAATTGACCCTACCGTACACGATTTACTGCATGAAGTACGGAGCCTAGCTTTACTATACGAGTTCAATTGACCCTACAGTACACGATTTACTGCATGAAGTACGGAGCCTAGCTTTACTATACGAGTTCAATTGGCCCTACAGTACACGATTTACTGCATGAAGTACTGAGCCTAGCTTTACTATACGAGATCAATTGACCCTACTATAAGAACAAAACTTTTCCTTTCAATTGTATAAGAATGTTAACTTCATGATGTTTATCGTGCACTAAATGTGAACATACGCTGATATTCCTTAAAGTAAAAACATCCCACAAGGGAGTTAGTTAAACTGCCTCTTTTAAAATCAGAATACTTATGAGAAAGTTTGGTTTTGGCTGGAGGAAATACAGTGTTGATATAAATGAAAATAATGCCTATACATTGCGCTCAAGCCAAACGTTTTTAATTTTTTTTTCCTAACATTCTCTATTATTCCCCTTTATTAGACTGAACAAGCGGGCTGACATGGTGGACGTGTTGGAAGTAAATGAAGACAGTGAAATTAAAGAGACAGGTAACGAAATTAAAGAGATAGTTAACGAAATTAAAGAGACAGGTACCAAAATTAAAGAGACAAGTAAAAAAATTAAAGAGACAAGTAACAAAATATAAGACACAGTTAAATAAAATTAAAGAGACAGGTAACGAAATTAAAGAGACAGGTTGCGAACATAAATATATATATGATATAAATTAAGTTTTTAAACAGCATGAATACACAAAAACATTTAGGAGAATTCAACAATTAAAAAAGCTTCTCTTTGATTACTTGTAAACTTATAATTCGAAAAAAAGCTTGTTAACATTCAAAACTTAAATAAAACAGTCGTCTTTGTTGCAGTGATATAATCGCTTACCGCCGTATGGGTATTCTATTAAACCAATATTTTTCTTTCTTTTTCCTGTTTCTTTATTGCAAAAAGATGCATTGCTAAAAATGACTTAAAGGGACTGTAAGCGTAATGTCAAGTGACCCTCCATGTAAAGATGACACTGCCCGAATTACAACGATACCCTTGAAACCTTAATCTGACCAAAAATGTGGAAGATATCCTCGTTTTATTTACTCTAAAAGTGTTTATGTCTGTGAGTTACTCTATACGCACTGCGCAAGTCACTTTCACTCAGAAACTGCAAATTAATATTAACAGTTTAAAGAAACAAAAACATTGATATCTAATTCATACTTTATCAGACAAAGATTTCAAGGTACCGTTGTAAATCGGACATTGTCACCTTTACAGGCCACTTGAAATTACGCTTACAGTCGATTTAAAGAGGTCAGTTTATTGTCGTCTTCATTATTCTTGTTTTTAAATTAGACTCGAACCTTAAATAAGAATAGTGTTAAACTTAAATAAATAAAACAAATGAATATTAACAGCTTAAAGAAACAAAAACATTGATATCTAATTCAGTCTTGATCAGACAAAGATTTCAAGGTACCGTTGTAAATCGGACATTTTTACCGTTACAGGCGACTTGAAATTACGCTTACAGTCCCTTTAAAGAGGTCAGTTTATTGTCGTCTTCATTATTCTTGTTTTTAAATTAGACTCGAACCTTAAATAAGAATAGTGTTAAACTTAAATAAATAAATAAACAGAGAATAAAAATTCGAGGACTAACATTCATATTTAAAAATAAGCATAATGGTAAAATCACATTTATGTCTTTAGTTCATTTTTATTTACATTTCATATTTTTATTCAGCTACAAAGCACAAAATAATTCAAAAAAAATCACAATTTACTATGTAGTTTGGGCCCGCCTAACCGGAGTAGGTTGTTTTAATTGTTTGGCCCATTATTAGCATATAACTCAGTGTACACTGTACAATGTACATTATACCTTTTAAACATAATAATGATTATAAATGAGGAAAAGGTAAGGAGGTGGTGAAGAGGTATCGGGATTGGGAGGGTACTCAGCGGAAGGGTTTAAGAACTACAGGGTGAAGAAGATAGTAAAGACTAAGTTTATCCACAATAGACACAGTTTTTTACAGATATAACTTGTTTATCTATCTAAATTGGTTTATAGAGAACCCGTTCAAATTTATATGTTTTTGTTCTGTTTGTTTCAGCTAAAGAATTGAACATATCATGGAGAGAAATTGCCTGGTTTTCATAAAATTATTTATGTATAAAAATTAAAACACCTAATGGATATGGATCATCAAGATTAATAAATTCTAATCTGAAAAATAAACTTCAACGCTGTAAACAAGAGTATAGAGTCAAAACAATAAAAAAACGGACTGAACATTACTTTTAATTTAATCATTTTTAAACGTCGCTTGGTACTTTGTAAAGTTGTAATCATAATATGTAACTTAGCAAAACGTCCTGAAACGTTTTAAATATTTTTCATACATCTGTAACAAATTCTACATTTCTACTTCAGTTTTAACCTTCCTTCAACTTTGTACAATATACATGTTTTTGTGTACATTGTACATTTTTTTATCGGGGGGGGTCAGGTTATGCGTAAATTGGAAACAAATATTNTTCGTGTTCCTGATTCAGTTTATCAGAAAGCTCTGATAATCCTACAGGAATTTAAATCAATCAATAAATCTACTTTAATACTTTTCAATGATTTCATGATATATTCATGTCCAACCAAACTATCTCTTTAGGTTTTAAACAACTGTCATTTTTGCCATAATATATTTCGACAACATCATCATATGTAAAATGGAGAACATATTAAAAATGAATAATCAAAATATAGTTAACATAATTTTAGAAAGAAAAACAAAAGTTAAATGCAAACGATATAAAGCTGTACAAATCAGGAAAAATAATGGCCTCTTTGTGAGGATTTTTATAATGTTGTTATTCAATCAAGGCCAATAATGGCCATAATTGATTAAAATACGACAATGATAAAAATTAGGCATTGGTTATAAAACTCTACAGAATGGATCTGAATACGATATAAAATGTATCTAATATGGACAAAATTTATCTAAAATGATCTAAATTGATCATAATGAACTAAATTAATCAAAATGGACAAAATTAATCAAAATAAACAATTCATCTAAAATTAACAAAATTGATCTAAAACTGACAAAATTGATCAATTTGGAAATATTTCTTCTAAAATGGACGAAATTGTTAAAAAAGGACATTGGACATAATTTATCCAAAATTGGCGAAATTGTTCAAATGGACAAAATTGATCCAAATGGACACAATTGATCCAAATGGACATAAATTGATCCAAATGTACATAATTGATCTAAAATGGACAAAACTTATCTAAAATGGACAAAATTGATCTAAAATTGACAAAGTTGATTTAAATGAATAGATGAGACAAGAGTCAGAACAGCTACAAGCTCAGGCTGAAGAGATAGCTGCGGATCAACGCACAGGTTCACTTTTTAGAGAAATCTATACTTATATTTATCTTGTCTGTTGGATAGTTTGTATCTAATAAATGACAAAACAGCTGATCTCATCGAACACCTTTTTTGTAGGTCTCAACTAACCTTAGGAAATGTTTATGGTCAGTCTAAATTCAAAAGCCTCTAAAAAGTTTAGAACTTTTTTCTCATTTTGTAAATCCTCTAATATGAAAAACAAGAAAATTCGCGAAATTGTTCCTTGTAGTTAAATTATTGTAAAATGTATGAGGAAAAAAGAACCTATCGCGTTGATGTTTTAAAAGGGAGTGAACGCGAAAAATTAAATGGGGTATAGACTAATTTTACTCTTATCTGTTGCGGAGAAAATGTTTCAAAACAACCCATACAAATTCACAGAGTTGCATTATTTCACTTAGACCTTAAATAATTCAATCATTCAGATATATAAACCTATTACCTATAAATATCAAATTCAATTTGATGTATATAAAGTTGATAATTCATAATATATATATATATATTTTTTATATATACAGAAAATGTACTTTAAAAGACGATTTTTGGCCACAAGGTGTCTCTATCATAGAGCGAAATCCCTGAAATTCCGAGAGCAGAGACACCTAGCGGGCAAATAAATTTTGTTCTAATTGTACATCCTATGGCCTACATCTTCGGTATGAGTTGTGTTTAACCATTTTCTCCTTTGACATTGATATCGAATTCAATTCGATATCAGCCAATACTCCCTTTAATTTTTCTTGAACCCGCCTTTCAGGGAATGTTCTTAAAAAATTCTTAAAAATAAAATCAAATGCAAAATTGTTACAGAAGATGATTACACAAGTCTATACTGGAAAGAAAAATCTTCAGAGGAAAATGAGTACGAGCAAGTGGACCCCTCTGCTTCAGGTGAAAACCCGGTTCTGTGACCTCATTCTTTGTTCAACCAATAGATATTTACATGATATCATACTTTGTTCAAGCAATAGGAATAGTAGGTTTATAAGACGTCATACTTTTTTAACCAATAGGAATAGTAGGTTTATAAGACGCCATACTTTGTTTAACCAAAAGGAATAGTATAGGTTTATATGAAGTCATATTTTGTTTAACCAATAGGAATACTAGGTTTATATTAAGTCATACTTTGTTTAACCAATAGGAATAGTAGGTTTATATGACGTCATGCTATGTTAAACCAATAGGAATAGTTTGTTTATAAGACGTCAAACTTTGTTTAACCAATAGGAATAGTAGGTTTATATGAACTCATACTTGTTTGTTCGAGCAGTAGAAACAGTAGGTTTAAAGAGCGTCAAAATTTGTTCGATCAATATGACGTAATACTAATGTTTAATCAATTTATATGAACTCATAATTGTAATTAAAGCAATAGGAACAGTAGGTTTATAGGGCGTCATAATTTGCAGTTCGATCAATATGACGTCATACTATGTTTAATCAATAGAAATAAAAGTGTTTATTCATTTTTGATCGAGCGAAGCTTTCAAGGGTACCCTTGGGATTCTTACATGCCATTCTATAAATGGAGAGACACTTAAAGTTAAATTTACATTCCATTTGAGGGAAAAAGAGAATAAGTGATCAAAAACATAAAAAAAATTTTAGATTGAACAAAATTAAATGAGGTTTACTAAAATGTTTCACGTTACAAGATTAAGATAAATTGTCCTTTATAGTTTCTATTTCTATTTGTGCAAATACAGATTAATAATTTAAAGTGAGAATTTTAACTTTAAATTTAGAAAAAAATTATTATTCAACATCACAAAATAACCACAAAATTGGTCGTCAATAAATGTTTATTTAGGGATTCATAACATGAAGGAGTCTTTGCTACAGGTAATGAAAGTTCTTTGAAAATTTAAATATTTTAAATCTTAAAAAGATGTGATACAGTGTAACCCATAAAACTATAGAAAAGAAAAACGACATTCAAACAATTTAATGTTTATTTGATGTTGTTATGGAGCAAATAGTTCAACCACCAATTTTTTAAGTAAAAAGCACAATTGTCCTTTGCAAGTTTTTTTCATTCTCTTTTCTTTTTAAAATCATAAATTGAGTCTAAAAGTCGTCTTCCTATTCCACAGTTTTGTGGGCCTCACTGTAAGTAAGGATATTTTTTTTTGAATGTTTTAATCATGTTTTCATCTTGTAGGAGTTAAAAAGAGATATTGCTCGGTTCATAAAAGGGGATAAACTCTACACCCAGCCTGTAAAAAGGTAAAATATTGATTTTCAGTAATTAGTGTTAAACTTTAGAATTTAAGAATTAGCACTATATCTTGCAATCTATGCACACTGGTCATCTTTAATTAAAATCTCGGTTCAACTATTCTCTTCGCTATTCATTAATTTTGAACGATCAGAACTTTACATTTAAACATTTAAACATTTAAACATTTAAACTTTTTAACATTTAAACATTTAAATATTTATGCCTTTAAACATTTAAACATTTTAACATTTAAACATTTAAACTTTTAAACTTTTAAACATTGAAACATTTAAATATGTATGCCTTTAAACATTTAAACATTAAAATAGTTATGCCTTTAAACATTTAAATATTTATGTCTTTAAACATTTAAACATTTAAACATTTAAATATTTATGCCTTTAAAGATTTAAACATTTAAACATTTAAACATTGAAACAATGAAACATATAAACATTGAAACATTGAAACATTTAAACATAAAAACATTTAAACATTTAAACATTTAAACATTTAACTATTTAAACATTTTTTCTAAAAATATTTTTGTAAGACGAGGCAAAACGGTCAATGTTCGTCCTGGTCTTGCCCTTGGGGTCATCACACTTCAGGTACAATTTAATGATCATCATCAGCATCATCATTATTATCATCATCATCATCATCATCTTCTTC